CCTTTTCATTTTGGCTGTCCAAATGCATACATTTAGGCATTTACCTGTGCTCCCACAATGCCGTTGCCTCCATAGAAATTTGGCGCGTACATGTGCATGGAGCCTCCCTTCCCTTTGGCCACGCCGCCTCTACGACCTGAGGAGGAACAAAGAAGAGGTGTGAAAAACCTGCAGGCATGTTCAAAATGTACTAGTCATGCAATTTTCCATTTGAAAACTTCTCCCTCACCTGTGAGCTCGGCCAGGATCTCTTTGACGGCGATCCCGCGGGTGTAGGTGTAGCCGTGAGCGCGGTACGCAGTGATCAGGTGGTCCGAGGGGTTGATGCCCGACTCGATGCCCACCGCACACGCTTCCTGCAAGGAGAAAACAAGCACTTTATTATACCCACAAAACAAAAACTGGTTGTGCAGGTGTCTTTATTGTTGCAGTAAATGAATTGACTAATCTTTACTGTCCAGTTTTTTTTATATATAAATATATACCTTCTGTACAGCACTTTTCCAATTTGTTTCTTTTTTGGGAGTCTCAATTTTGATGACAGATTAAAAAGGGTCTTAAAAAAATGATAGTTCCAAAAAGAAAACGAACTGCATTTGCACCTTTATGAAGTAAATAAATGAGATCCTTGTAGTATAGAAGCAAATTAAAAAAGGTTTTATATCAAATATGTTATCTAATTAGCAATAAAAACAACTGATATTACATGCCGTTCAAAAGACTATTATCATACCAGTAATCATGCGATTCTCATGTTCATTTTGTCTTATAGCAGCGTTCACTTCCTCAAACAAATAATGAGTGAGGAAAACAAACCTCCTGCTGTGCATATTTCTACGTGTCCTCACCTGTCCGTCGTACAGGTGGCAGAAGCCTCTGATGATCTTCTGTTTGTACAGCTGGTCAGCTTTCAGCTCCATGCGTCTCACCGTCTGCATGACGCGGTAATACTGCAGGCCCTGCTCCCGCGTCAGCTCCGCCTTCAGGGGGGGGCCCTCCTCCAGCCGGTGCAGCTCGCATTCCTACTCCCACAGATAATTAATATGACAGCTGTACAGAAATGTTTCAGTGCAGTGAGGTCGGACTTTTGTTTTTGACCCACCTTGATGTCAAAGCTGGCCTGAGAGGTGAAGTCAGCGAAGGAGCGGGACACCACGACACTGGCACCCTGTGAACAAAAACATACACACATTAAAACAGGACAAATATTAGTCATTAAATTCACACATGGTGAATCACAAATAAAACAAAGAGTGTTTCAGACCGACAGAGTGGAAGCTGCCCCCTTATCACAGTGTGGGTGTAAGAAAGAAGGGTGGGAGGGGTCTGGTAAGGGTTTAACATTGCTACAGCAGTCTGATGCCAAATTTCTAATATTGCTGAGCAACAACTGGCTGTTTTTGGGAAGGTATAAGAAGAAGGTCCTCCATTAAGCAGCCACTTCAGAAAACAACATTTAAGTGTTGTGAGAACACTTGCAGGACAGTGGGGGCAGAGAGTTTATCAATAAGTTGGTCAATATAAATGCTGATAATTAATAAAGTATCAAGCAAAACAAATCTCAAAGTAATTGCTGATTTTTGTGCCAGCCAAAAAGCATTTGAGAATGTTGGGAATCTGGACTTAAAAAAAAAATCAAAATATATATATATTTTTTTTAAATAAAATCTGATGTTTTTTTCAATTAATGAGAAATAATGTGCCTTATTTGTCACATTCTTTTACTGACTTCATACATTTCCCAGAAAGGGAAACAAAAGATTAGAAAAACAAAGTTCCAAGAAATGGGAGTACATTTTTTTGGAAAAAGAGATACAATCCGTAAAACAATTGTTAGTCGCATTGTTAGTTTTAGCTTTCTTTACAGTAGTCCATAAAATGATACAAATGTGTTTAAAAAAAACACATGCACCAGTGATATTAAAACTTTAAAAAGGTTTCTCATTTTGACATGTTCAGGGAGGGATTTCACACATTTCCCAGAAAGAAAACCCAAAGATTAGAAAGACCCAGAACCAAGAAATAGGTGGTATCACGACGACTTAAAGAGGTTATTTTGCTTTAAATCTGAATTGTAAACCCATAAGTTAGGATAAGTTAGTGATCAGTCACATGGAGGATGCCTCGGTTCTTACTGGTCTGTCTGTCTCGGCCTGGTTGTTAACTAACTGCTCGGCCGGCGCTCTAGTTCTGACAGGAGGCGGTTTGGGCGGCTGCCTCTGGGTCAGAGCCACCGTGGGGGCCGGCGGCGGCGAGGTGACACTGACGTACTCTGACAGGTCGACCAGCAACTGAGGAGCACAGGAGCCAACGAATCAGAGCACAGCCGCTCTACAGAGGCTACAGGGACACACACACCATGACAGCTAGGAGGAAACACACAGACTGGCAGCGGCCCAACAGTGTCTACACTTCACCTGACATTTGCTTCATTGGCACATCATTTAGATTTTGCAATAATGTTTATATTGAAGTACTTTTAACATAAGAGGGAAAAGTGCATTTTGTTGGCAGGTCAGTTTATCCAAAGACTCATATGACAGTTTTCACAGGATGTATCTTAAATGAAAAATCTACAAACATGACTTACTTCAGCAAGTTGGATGGTTTTTACTCACAGTTTAAAAGTAACTGACATAAGAACCAAGACTCTGAAGTGAACATTGTGGGAAAGCTACAAATCAAAGATCAGGATCAGCTTTTCTTGGACAATTGGGATTGCATTTCAATATACATTCTGAAAAGTAGATATGGCTTTTTTCACCAATAAGAACCAAGCACCTATATTGTATTTGTTGCATCTAAAGACGTTCCTTAATGACATTTATGTTTTTGAAGCTGACCAAGTTCTTGTACACCTTGAAACTATTCTCTGGACAGTGTTGTCTTTTTGATAACTGCGCATCATAACTTTATTTTAACACTATTGAGAGTTAGATTTCCTGCTTTAAATGTTGTGCCAATGTGAAATATCCCTGTGGCGGCTTTCCACCAAGATCATCTGGTCTAACCATGCTACCACCGATGAATAAATTATACTTTTTACGAAATAATTGTGTTAAGAAAAGAAAAAAAACACAAGACTGATGATTGAAATGGACATTTGATTAAACCAAAAGAGATACAAAGTATAACTAAACAAAATACAGTTCTGATTTAATTCTACGCAGAAAGAGCATTAATGTAAAAATCATTGTTATTTTCTTTATGAGCACCTCATTATTTTACTAATTTAGAGGCACCTTAGAGGAGCCTCTTTAGAAATATCACTGCAGGAAAGGAGGCGTAGGAGCCAAACATCAGGAGTGCGAGGAGCTGCTTACCTCGGACACTGTTTGGGCTCCCTAGGGTTCAGGTGAGGTGGGGAGAGGAGGGAGAAAAGCAAGAAATAAATTGGGATTGTTGAATGTGTGTGAGAGAGAGTGAATGAAGAGCAAGGGGAAGCCGGCGGGAAAGAGAAAGCAGGAGCGTTTTCAACACGGAGCTGAAACAACAGAAGTCCTTCAGTCACAAATTTGTTTTTTCAAATCAAATGTATATTTGAATCATACTCCAAATAAAGACCGAAGGATCCCTGATGCGGCTGAACCACCACCACAAACAACATGCTGTTGAATAAGCTTAGTGATGAATATGGATGCACTGATACCAAATTATCATTTGATCTATATTTACTAAAAGTGTAAGGCACGTTTTAGTTAAATTGAAGAGTTTGATTTTTCTAACCTCAATTTTTTTAAGAAGTTCTGTAAAATCCTTTAATGCATTTCAGCAAAGTTGTATCGACATTGATGTAATACGTTTCCCCAAGTCATAGATCGAAAAGCACAAGCATGTAGATTAGCTATATTTAAAGACAATAGCTTAAGCATTGTGAGGCTGTGCTTCCAATTTAAAAATGTTCACTTTCATTGCTTTTTACTTATCCATGTTGACCCCTTGCAGGATTTGTGTACATCTTAATTAGTTTCATTCAGTATAACTGTTTGTGCATCAGTGCATTGTTAACAGATTTAAAACATTAATAAACTTATTTTTCCACCACTGCTAACACGTGGTAGCTAAATGTAGCTTCAAGTCAGTATGTATCACATCAGTGCATCCCAATCAATACAAGCTGCTGGAAGAAGGCAAACCACCACAATCACAGACACATTTATCTAATCTTAGTTAATGAAGATTAACTGAAGATAAATAAGAGTAAAGAGTGTACACTCCCCAGTGTATCCATGCCCTTTATAAAAATCACCCTTTACTCACTCAACATTGAGCAAGCACACCTAATTTACATTATGATGATTAATACATGCAAACATAGCAAGTCAAACTAGCCGCCGTGGCTCACATGCTAACTGTTAACAAGGTCAGCCTCAAGCAAAACTCAATCAAAGCTAGCTAGCTGTTAGCATTGTCCCAGACACGGCCAACAGCTTGAAGGTAACCCCAAAACAACTCACCACATTTCGCCCAGTCATCCTACAAAGTGCGTTAGAGATAGTGGTCAACATGTTTTTCATGCTACTGAACGACGACCCGGCTCTGGAGGGATTATAACAGCGGACGTTAGTCGCTGTGCTAAATCCCTGTTGGTGTCCGTGAGAAAGCGAGTCCGGTGGAACACAATGGCTGCTTCGAACATTGGTTCCCCCTAGGTTTATATAGCTGCCCGGAAGTACAAAGTACAAAATCAGATAGAAACCCAAAAAGGTGAAACATAAAAACGAATAATATATCTAGAAAGATATATTAGTCCAACTGTTTTAATAGTAATGTAGATTACAAGAAGATACACCTTTGGGATTGTTAATTTCGACTAATTGAAAGGTTATATTTAAAATGTGTAACAGGCAGATTTTAAAGTAAATGTGTTCTTGTCTTTTGAACAGTTCTAAATTATGATTCATTTTACCAAACAGGTATTTTTTTTGTAAAATGTTTAAATAACACTAAACAATCACTTGTATCAAACATAATGAAAGCAAAGACAAATAGGACAACTGTAAAGTCGGGATAAATACGAATTCATTTATTGCATTTGAGTAAATAAACCACTTGCTATTGCAAGTTTGACACATTCATAATGAAGCTCATTCTCATTCAACTTAAAAAAAGGAAAGACAAAAAGGAAAGACAAAAAGTTTTGTGCGTATGAGCGACAGTGGAATATTAAAATGTAACATATTGTAAAGCAATATACTGCAAGGAGTTATGACATGGAAAGTAAACGTTTGATAATTTGACTGTTTAAGAGATGTATACGCTGACTGGTTGTCAAACGAACAGAAGTTCTAAATAAGAGTAAATAAAATATAAATGCATTTATAAAAAATCTGTGTTGTAAAGTATAGGTTTTCTTTTCATCAAAAATATAAACCAACAGAACAAATAGAGTAACAGAAATTAAACATTTTCTCCATGTAAGGTGTGTAAAGATAACAAGACGTGATGTAAAAAGGATGTATACTAAATGAAGTGCATTCATTCTTCTCCACTGACCACACACACACACACACACACACACACACACACACACACACACACACACACACACACACACACACACACACACACACACACACACACACACACACACACACACACACACACAACACACACACACACACACACACACACACACACACACACACACACACACACACACACACACACACACACACACACACACACACACACACACACACACACACACACACACACACACACACACACACACAACACACACACACACACACACACAACACACACACACACACAACACACACACACACACACACACACACACACACAGAAAAGCTTTGGCAGGCAGGTGGCAGACATGTTGCCTTCAAGGCTCCACGGTCTGATTAAAGTGTCTCTTTCCGTCCAGGTAAAGCATCGACTCTGTGATAAAAACACACACAAATAAACAACATTAAATATTCAGACCGGAAGGCAATCTGACAATTTAGTCACTTTTTTAAATGTTATTTTCACAGAAAGAAAGAAAAATAATGAATTCAAAGGTATTTATTTTCCTGTAACTCTCACACTTGTCTTTTTCTAGTTAAAGGTTATAAAGTATATTTTCCATTCGGTTAAAGTGTGATAGTTAGTACTGTGGGTAGACCAAGTACTCAGATATTTGACTAAAGTTATGTAGCAATTCTCTGTTAAATAAAAATCCTGCATCATAATTTAATTCAAGTATAAGTCACAAGTACCAAATTATGCTTAAAGTACAAAAAAAATACTGATATTGATGCAATAATATGCCGGTCTCTTTTATTCTGCAGCTGGTGAAGGTGGAGCTGATTTGAATACATTTCTTTACTACTTTTGTTCTTACCTCCGTATGTCATTGGAATGATGTTGGGGACTTCGCGGTCGGAGATGAAGGTGAAGTGGAAGACGTTGGTGGTGTTGTGCTGCCGGGTCAGAGGGTCGAACACCTCGCTGTGAACTCTCACCTGTATGTGATTCCCCTGTGTGTAACACACCTGAACACACACACACACACACACACACGGACACACATGAATAAATGCTGCAAAACATTTGAGTAAAATGTATATATATTTTGTATTGCCTAATACAACGCTACACATGATTTGTCTATAATACATTTGTTCATTTGGGTTTTTGTCTTGTTTTTATCCAGTGTTTCAATTGTTTTACTGCATTTTTATCACTTGCTCCTTTGCTTTTTATAACTCATCTATTGTGGTGATGTAACACCTATATTTTCTTAGTGGGTATCAATAAATAAAGTTCTTATCTTATCTTAAAGCCAGATACCTTGATAAGCCTTTTCTTATCAAGCTCCACTTTTGTGGAATCAGCTTCCAGTTTGTGTCCGGGCGGCAGACACCCTATCCGTTTTTAAGAGTGCGCTTAAGACCTTCCTTTTTGATAAAGCTTATAGTTAGGGCTGATTAGATTCAGCCCCTAGTTTTGCTGCTATAGGCTTAGACTGTCGGGGGACACCTTACTTCTTCCTTCTGTCTGTCTGTACCTGTGTACTCTCATGTTCTGAATAACCCAGCTTCCCCCAAATTTCTTTTTGGTGTCTATCTACGCCGGGATCCTGAGTCGTGGCTGAACCTGTTGCTGCGGTCCTGTGTCATGGATCCTCTATCCTGAGTCCTGATCTGAGTCCTGGACTTCGAGTCGTGGCTGAACCTGTCTCTGCGGTCCTGCCTGACTCTCATCATATTACTTCCCTGATGGCTCCCACAGGATTGTTGACATCCTCGTGGATTCATCTTCTTATTATAGACACATGCATTTCCAAACATTTGGTCTACCTATGTTGTAAATGTATTATCTTTTCAATTTACACACGGCATCTATTGCACGTCTGTCCGTCCTGGGAGAGGGATCCCTCCTCTGTTGCTCTCACTGAGGTTTCTCCCATGTTCCCCTTTAAACTGTGGGGTTTTTCTCAGGAAGTTTTTCCTTGTACGATGTGAGGGTCTAAGGACAGAGGGTGTCGTATTGTCATACTGATATTCTGTACAAACTGTGAAGTCCACTGAGACAAATGTAACATTTGTGATATTGGGCTATATAAATAAACATTGATTGATTGATTGATTGATTGATACTCTTAAGCCTTTAGGACACCTTACGCAGTTTAACCTGAATACTACCGTCTAGAAATACTGTTGAATCTACTCTAAAACAAAGAACAAATAAGAAACAATCACTTAAAGCTGCAATGTTTTGGTTAATTGGGGGAAGAAGAAACTGTAATCACAGACAACTCCTGAGGGAAATGTGTGTCTTTTAGATAAATGCTCAAATATGTTCACCAAATAGAATATAAAGCTTTAAAATGAAGATCGGAAACTGATGTCACTGCAGGATTTCCTCAAAGTCACTGATCAGATGTAAAAGATTCTCTGACCTGAGATGAGAGCAGCAGCAGTGATCCGATCTCCACGGGTTTCTGGAAGAGGATGTCATCAACCGCCATCAGGCTGGGGCGACATCCTCTGCAGCACACACACACACATTAACATCTTGCAGGAAAGAAACATTTTGCTTTTAGACATTATTTTCCTAAAAGTCTCTAAACTCTCACCCAAAGGAGCAGGCGTTGGCCCAGCCCAACTCGTACGCTTTCCTCATCAGAAAACCTCCAAAAATCCTGTTGAAGATGTTCCTCTCCTGCTCGACACACACACAGAAAAACAGACATTTAGAAGTGGAAACTCTTTAAAATATTTTGTAAGATTACGGAGAATAAATGAAGGACACAAAACAAAAAACTGGGTAAATTATAAGGAAAACTGACCACTATAATACATATTTAAATATCTATTTTTCTTATGTAATTGTGGCTGGTGGATTTCAAGATTCCCCAAATCCTCTATTAAAAATATGAATAGGTTACATGAAAAAATAGGGACATCATACTGAATAATTAGACAAATATGAGAGAAAATAGGAGGAAATCTGGCCACTATAATAAGTATTTAAAATGTTATATTTGTTATAAAATACTTTTCTGATGTAAATGTTTCTGGTGTACTTTAAGATTAACAGTGTTGAAATCAAATGTGAGAAGCAAAATCAAACACAAAGCTCTGTCAAAGGATTTGTTGGTAGAACTTTTTTTCTATTAGGGATATAAAGCTTTATGTGTATTTATCCACCTGAGGATGGCAGATCTCCAGTCCTTTCAGTTTTGCGTCTTCCATCCACACAGAGTTCGGAGGCAGGAGTCTGCTGCGGAAACTGACCGTCCTGCAAAACACACACAGCAAGATGTTTAATAGAATACATCTTATAGTAACATGCAAAACACCTTTCATAACTATCTAACATCGTAAACACAACCTTGCATTAAACATGGATGTTGTTACAGTACAGACACTTTTGCAGTTGAAAAGTAGAATGTTTTTAAAGTATAGAAACGTCCTACTTTTCGTTCAAGTTTCTGCCTTTTTCCACAGAGTGTTTTTCCTCTCAGTGTTTCCATCTTACTTTGTGTCGAGGGTGTTGAGGAACAGACCGTGGACGATCTTCCTCTCTTCGTCTGTCGGCGCCACCTTCAGCAGCGAGGCCGTGCTCAGCTCCACACGGCGCACTTTATTCGCTGGAAAACACAAAGTATATCACAACAAATGTTGGTATAAAGAGAGGAGCATTCGTTATCTTAATATCAGGTTATTTAATGTTATATTACCTTCTCCTTCCTGGAAAAGTTTCTCTTCCTCTGGACCTTCTGGCTTCAGCGGGTTTACATAAGCTGCCCTGAAATGAATAAAAGCAGCGACACAGATTCAATTGTGTTATATCACATTTTACCAGAGGTTGAAAGTACAATTAGTCATGTATAGTACTCAAGTATCATTTAAGGTACAACTTTATACTCTCTTACTCTAAATGAGTTATTTTTTACTGCTCTTTTTTTTAAGGACTTACTGCACTCTTTATAAAACGACTTTGTGACCTACCTCTTGTTTTCTGGATCGCGGGCCACCATGACAAAAGTTGCATCCAGAATCGGGGAATAAGCTCCATTTTGGTACTGAAAAGGAAATCACATTTTGAAAGAAATATGTTTAGTATATCAGAATTCATACGTGGAAGAACTGTGCAGTTTTACAGAGGTAGCATTGTGCAGACATTTCAAACTAATCAAACACTGTTATAATACTGCTTTCTTCTTTTTTCTTTGTATAAAAATGAAAAAAAAGACCTTGAATAAATGTTTGATTTTTCCATATTTTTGCTGACATGCCTTTTTAGGCCTTCTTAGGTTGTTTAATATCGCCATCACATTTATGAATTAATTTATTCAAATAATAAATAATTTACAGTGATGGTGTGTGTGTGTGTGTGTGTGTGTGTGTGTGTGTGTGTGTGTGTGTGTGTGTGTGTGTGTGTTCGGGGTCTGGTCTGACTGGCCAGATCTCAATGACCTCTGCAATCGGACTGGAGTCCAGCTGAAATGGACAAGACTCAACACACAGACTGAAGTCCCCGTCTCTGATGAACTGATCACAGACCCCAGTGTGGTTGTGAAGGCCGACATCACAACACCTCAGGAAGAGACTGTGGAACTGCACCGAGACTCTGCAAGGAGGGTTCTGCTCAGCATGAAGCAGTCTGAGATCAAGCAGCACTGGTGTGGACTCAGATTACAGGGAAAGCTAGCCTGTTTGGGGTTTGCTGACCACTCAGTCTCACACTCAGTGTTTAAGAACGCCGCTGTTGGTGAGGATGTTCTGACATTTACCATCAAAGCAAGACTGCAGGTATAACCCACTAAGTACAATCTGTCCACCTGGTACCCTCACATTCACACTCCATTCTGTTTAAACCACCAGGATTCACAACAACACCGAGAATCCATTGCACACATAACAAATGGATGTAATGCATACAAACGCCTGTACATAGCCCGTCATGACCGTATTGTGGACATTGTGTCTGATGCGGTACAAAACATCTTACCATCTAGCGCAGCAATGTACAAGCACACTAGAGTGTTACCAGAATGGTTTGGTTTTACCAATGATGTCTTTGCTAACATCCCAAATACACCTGATGTTGTTTTTGTTGACACCAACCACAGGGAGGTGCTAATATTAGAAGTAGGCTGTGCCTTTGACCTGTACATGGACCAGGCTTTCCAGGACAAGTATATCAAATACCAACCACTGCTCCATGTCATAACCAGCTTTGGGTACAAGTGTAGATATAGCATACTCATATTCGGAAGTCTTGGCCATGTATATAAATACACCATGATTGGTCTGAGAATTGCTGGAATGTCAAAAAGAAAAGCCAAATATTGCTCTGTTTCAGCTATTATTGGCAGCTTAGCCGTGTGGAGAAGGAGATGCTATGTGTTCCCCTAAGTGTTCTGTGCTGCTTAGCCCCGATATATTTGATTCCCTGTCTTATGTAATATAATTTGTGGAACCAAATAAAGTATTCAAGTGTGTGTGTGTGTGTGTGTGTGTGTGTGTGTGTGTGTGTGTGTGTGTGTGTGTGTGTGTGTGTGTGTGTGTGTGTGTGTGTGTGTGTGTGTGTGTGTGTGTACCTGTGACATGTGCATCTTGGCTTCAATAGAAGTCTTTCCCACCCACGTCACATGACCGCTGAACTTGATGTCGCAGTCAGGGTAGATGATGTGCTGCCTCATGTCTGTACAATTATAAACAACAACAACAACAACATGAAAAAGTCTCAAGTGTGAACTACAGAGTTTAAAATAATCATGTAAGGGTGCGTTCAAAACATGCACATTTGCAAAGGTGGGTATTTTATGTTTGGACAAATATTCTCTGTCTTCCTTAGATAACTGTGATGTTTATAAAACCAAATAAGGTGGGAAGCAATGATTAACTCTCACCAATCTTATCCACCAGGGCGGTGACGATGGACAGAGGGGTTTTCTTCAGAGCCGGATTGTAGGTGTGAGAGTAAGAGATGAGGACTGAGGAGGAGAACAGGAGAACACGTGTTTAAGAGCAAATTAGAGAATGGTTCCCTAATTATTGTTAAATTAATGAGAAGATTGACTTTTTATAAAGGATAGGTCATTTTATTTATATAGCACATTTCAATACAAAACTTAGGAAGTTAAGTTTCATAGTAATACCTGCTAAACTGTCCAAATCCTCCAGGATCCGACCAAACCTGCAAACAGACACAAGTTAGAGGATGTACGTCTGTGTGTGTGTGTGTGTGTATGTGTATGTGTATGTGTATGTGTGTGTGTGTGTGTGTGTGTGTGTGTGTGTGTGTGTGTGTGTGTGTGTGTGTGTGTGTACCTGACAGTGTTGTGGAAGGTGAGGTATTTCTCCCTGAGCTGTGGCTCTGAGCCCAGAGGCAGGTGAACCTCCAGCCTGCTGTCCTTCATCCTCTTGAGGGGGAGGTCGTCCTGAGACTTGGCCAACATGTCGGAGAGCGACAGGCGCTCAGACATGGCCTGCTGGTGGTCGCTGCACACGAGATTATCACACAGATTGTTTCTTGACTTTTCAATACTTCTTACTTTGTTTGTCGTGCATAGTATGCATTCTCTTTAAACATTGTACTGTTTCTCTTTTGCAGACAAGACACAATAGCAAACAATCTTGGCCCGACAAAGCCAAACGAAACAAAACAATACAGATATTATTCTGTGTTTTGGACGCTTTGACACAAATGGTTCAGTACCTCCAGTTTGTGGAAGCTCCCACGATTTCTCTCAGCCTGTTTCTCACTGAAAAACACAGGGGGGGAAAATCAGACCTCCTATGTGTGTGCGTAAGCGTGTGCGTGTGCGTGTGTGTTTATCAGAGCAGGTGTTCTGCAGCGAAAGCACCAAGAGTTCAAGGCCATTTGTCTCTGGGAAAAACAATGATGCGGTTTCACTTTAAGTTTGCAGCTGAAGCCTCTCGGAAACAAGTTGTGTCATTTTCAGCCGACACGATGTGTTTACATTTCACACAAGATTTCTATTAAAGCGTAATTATGTGCTTTACTATTTCTTAATCTTATAGGTCTTTAGGTTTCATATTTACATGAACCACTCTTACAAAAATAGCGGGATCTGATTATGAATTTAACCGTATGATGTCTGTTATTCCTACTTGACGGCTTCAGCTTTTAGAGGGCCAAACAGTGAGACAATATAAAACCACAGAAGAAAAAGCATTTAAATATCATGTGGGAACCAGCTGCAACAGAATACTGAAGCTCGGTGCAACATAGAGAAGAACAACAAGACTAAATCTTAACTAAAGGTGCACAGTAAGAACCACTGAAACAAGATTAGCTTCAGGTAAAGAGAAGGATGTTCAGTCAGTCACCATGCAGGAGGAAATGACGTGCAATTAGAGAAATCACTGTGGAAGCAATAGTGTAGTAGTGTTAAATATGATTCGTCGTGGTTTACCAACACACCATTAGACACGTGCAAAAGTGGGTTTCCTGTGGAGAAAACAAAAATGATTTTAAAGGTGCAGGATATGGCTGGATGTCTGGGGATTTCACACAGAAAGGAAATATGGCACCATGAAGTATTTTGTTTGATTTATTTCATCAGACGCCTTCGCATCTGCTGCAATAAAATAGCTGCAACATGTTATGTATTGATTCACAGATGTGGAAATAACTGCAGTTGAAAATGTTTGCATGTTTATTTCATCCAAAATTATAGCCTTGCTGATGTTTCTGGATTGGATTTACTAATTTTATTTTTTAAATGAAAATGTCTATATCAATACAGTTTGAGTTGATTTGGATTACTATCTGTAAAGTCCCATTACACAAGAGTAAACATGAACTGAAGTTGGATAAATTATCCGCAAAAAAAAGTGATATAAATAACTAAGCGTGTGGGGCACTTTCACCTCCTTCATCATGTTGCATCAACATGTATCGGCATATTACAACAGTAAACAGCAAAGTCCAACAAGTGGTTATATAATGCGGTTGGCCCCAGAAAAGCTGCTCGTTTTCACTTGTTCGACTATCTGGGACACCATGTTCTTACCTAAAGGTGACGTAGAGGCATTTGTGTGCCTTATAATCTGAATTAACGTGTTATTTTGTAATTGTATTTTAGAAAATCCTGAGATGGTGACAGATCTAAAACCAGGTCAACACTAGAATTCAAAGTATGTACAACCAGACATGTCTTTATTGATTCAACTAAGTGGGGGGGGTTAATCCCTTGTACAGGGAGCATGGTTGTTGTCCTACCTTCAGCCATGTCGGGCGCCTTGCCCTGCTTCAGCACGGCCCCCCCGCTAAATGACCTGGAGGTCAAAGACGCGGTCGACCGCAGGAGCAGGAACCTGAAAGGATAAATGAGGACATGAGAAAAAAATGATAAACAAATTTGACCTTAAGGCTGAGGAGTCCAGTTACATCCACACGCATCCTTTTCTAAATATAACTGTCATCCAACCTGTATTTAATCCTGGTATTCAACAGTGAACAGCTGAGCAGGCAGAGAGACAGATAGACAAAAAGACACATAGACTGTCCCTGCCTGTAGGGCTGCTCAATAAATCGTATTTTAATCGCAATTACGATTTTGGCTTGCAACGATTATGAAAACAACATAATCGAAATAAAACGATTATTTGTATTTATTTATTTAATTTTTTTAATTTTTTATTATTTATTTTTGTATTGGTTTTTCAGTTGAATTATACTTAAAGCTCAGGGTAATCAACTGTTAAAAACATACTGTACACATTTTTCTTTTCAATAAATGGATGTTTTCAAAGTAAATGGATAATCGTTTTTAATAATCGTGATATCAATTATTGACCCAAATAATCGAGATTATGATTTTTGCCATAATCGAGCAGCCCTACCTGCCTGCTGCATGAAACTTGTGGTTTTGACAAAGATTACATTTAAAATGCTTTATTGTCATATTTACAGTACAGGGAAGTAGAACATCTTACAATATACAGAACTTACGGTATCAAAAATAAATACAATAGTGCAAAATACATTATGCTGTAAGTAACATTCAGGAATAAGTTAAATATATATATATATATGTATACATTGAGAAATCTGCTCAATCTTTTTCCACAAGAAGCACAACAGTAAAAGTTACAAAGAAGTTAATCCAGCCGTTATTCTTGCGTGATAAAGTGATAATACCTTATAACTTCATTCTTACTACTAGAATACTTTTACTCCATTGTAGTTCAGATACAAATATTACACTTACAGTTAACATTTAGGAATCTTGACAAAAAATATATAATGTCATTAATTCTGTAAAGTATCTTCTGATGGTTACACTGCAGAAAAATATTTTAGACACACTACATGAGTTAATAAAATATAGTTCATATTAAAGACTTAAAACTCCATAAGCCTGGAGATCAAGAAGACACTTTTTATACCCTAAATAAATTGCTGTGCAGCATTTGAAAAAACAAAGTGGATATGCAAATATAAACTAAATCATATCATTCATTATATCCCAAAATATATGAACTAGTTTGATCTGCCATTGTAACTTACAGTGGAGTTGCAGGGAAAAGCCTATTTCTCTATTATGAAATATTTGGTGTTAAACCTTATACTATATGGGTGCTTTCTTTCTGACAGTGGTATGAACTTGACACACCCTATATACACATAATGACTCCCCACCCAGTTTGGGCCTGGTGAAATATTCCCAGGAGAAGCTGATATATTTACTGAAATGAAATAAACCAAACTAGCCCCAGTGCCTCACACACAAATGCATCATTGACACATGTAGGTTAAAAAGCTGTTTAGCATTCCTGGGATTCATTTGACTGTAGATATGCTAACGGTTAGCAACAGCATCAACAGAACTTTGAGCCACGTTTTTAACCACACTGACCTCGGTGAAAGCATTGTAGTTTCCCGGGTGGCACCGTGAACGGTTCAGGGGACTAACAAATCGGGTTAGTTCGGTAAAAAAGGAGAAAAGTGACAGATTTTCTTTCCAGGGTACTGCGGTGCCAAGGTACCAGGGCAAGTCAGGACTACCAGAACAGCTTCCGGGTTGGTGTTTGGCCCCGCCCACTGCAGGAGGACGCAAGAAGTACTTTATCACCCTGAGTTCAGCCTGCCAGGAGATCACCCGTGCCAGGCAGATACATCACTGTGGAGACATCTATACTGCGTTTGCACCATTCAATGTTATTGACTGAAAAGAGTTGCCCTAAAGGTGTGTAAATTACTCTTGATTAATAGAAGGAAAACAAATCGTCACTGTTTAATCGTGCAGGAAGAATTTAGAGATGTAAGTGAACTAGAAATAGCAATAACACACTGTATGAAACATATTTAATAAGTAGAAATCCCACACATAAAACTTGTTTTAAGTAAAAGTATACATTTAAAGTTTTTAGATCTTAACCATAGACTGTATATATAAAGATCTTTACCCATGCTTTAGTATGGACTAAAAATTAAAATACCTCAAACTCTGATGGACTGTATATGCATATACACAATATTGGTTCACACTGTTGTACATTGTAATTTATTCATAAGTTCCAAGTTGGGTCAGTAGTATGGGCAGAATGTATTACTATGTATTTCCTGTCATTGTTTAACACACCTTAAAGTATATTGAGTAGTATTTAATAACCTTTCAGCACGTAAAACATTCTACAAATATTATTCTTGTTCACACATAACTTGTGTTGCTGTTTACCTTTTCACACTTCATGTCAGGTAGCGATGCAAAACTCTTACTTCAAATAGGTAGTCAAATATTGTAGTTTTACTCCACAAAATGTATTTGACACTTTGTAAGATGCAAGATTCACATTAGATAAATTATCATTTATTATTTGTATGTTGAGGTAATTAAAAGGAGCACCACCTTTACCAGCTGCAACATTTAGGGGCAAACAAATCGTTGAAAAAATAATATAATAAATGACATTATTCTGGATCATATGTATGCATGGTACTTCATGGATATTTGTATGCGTTGGTGTGGTTTATATAGTATCAAAATATGTGAACATTACAACTTTCTTTTTTTTGTTGCAAATACTTTTTAGATTTGTCATACTTTACTCTAATTTGTTAGCATTTCTACATTGTGCTATAACTTAAGCTACTTCTTCCACCAAGTAAAAAACACCCGACAAGATCTTTTGACCGAACTAGAACCTACGCTTCACGTGAGCATTCCTTGAGTCCTGATTGGCTAAACAAACTGGCAGACTGTGACGCTGATTCGTCAGAAATATGATAGGTTGGGAACTGACCAACCACATTCCAGCGCGAGCGGGGTATAAAAGTCCCGATGTAAACAAAGGAAGCGGCAGTTAAACGGCAGCGACCCAGCCGAGGGTGATAACTACTGGATGACCTTCTTGTTTCGTCTAATGCGTCCGGACCAGAGACTGACTGTTGGGAAAAGGCTACTCTGAAGCGAATGAAGAAACAACTAATCTTTCACTTCACATACAGAGGACTTCTAAGAAAAAAGAGTAAAAGAAGAAAATGGATTATAAATTACGAAAGGCTGAACCCAGGGACGTGTCTGACATATTACGATTGGTGAAGGTAGGCCAAGGACCACCATACACATCTAACAGTCGCCGAAGGATTGAACTAGCCAGCTAGCTAACTGTTAGGTAGCAGTGACATTCACATCTACTCTATTCTACCGGTATTTCCGACGATATGAAAGCCAGACGACGCTTTAAACACGATGAATCACCGTCTGGAGGATGTCCGAGTGAGATTAGTTTCGGTGGTCTTTGTTTACAGCATGGAGACTCGTATCCGGGTTCCTAAATAGTCTTACCTACAGCTTAAGTTCTTACGGAGGTCAATGTCATGTTACGGTTGTCTAACTATACCTAATGGGATGACATCAATAACACAACAAGGGCTACAGGTGATGAGGGTTGTACTGTTGTTTCGAGTAATATAGCTAAGAGAATATTAGGAAAATGTCCACCAAAAAGAGGGCACGTTTTGTCTGACCTACGGACCAAATCACATATATTACTTGTCAAACATAGCTGCATGCATTCAGCTGATAAGCACTTAACCATAACTGTTTGAATCAACAACTATTAGTCATAATATGAAGCATAACTGGTATTTAAGCAGTTAAAGGTATTGATTTTCTATATATTTGAAAAAATTGTTTATACACCCAAAAGTAAGGTAAAACAACAGTGTTGACTTGCCTGTTATGCCTAGAAAAGTTCTTAAAAGAACAAGGGATGCTTATGTCATCATTGTGAGTTATAAAAAGTAATGAGACTATCGTTTTCAGATGTTTTGAACTTAGTTTCCTTACTTTATATCACATGCTTTGTGTTTTTCTTGTCCTAGGAACTTGCTAAGTATGAAGAGATGGAGGACCAGGTCACACTGACTGAAAAAGGTGACTTTTTAAAGTTCTCTTCATCAATCTATTCACATAACTATCAGTGTTGTTCCCCTGAGGCTTAAGGTGTAATTTGCTTGCAGAACTCCTTGAGGATGGTTTTGGTGACACCCCGTTTTACCACTGCATCATCGCTGAGCTCCAAGGAGAGAACAGCAGTGACGGTAAGAACACCCTGCTGCTTCTCATAACAACTGAAACACACACCCCCCCTCCCATGGCTTGACCTTGAGTTACCTCACAGAGAAGCCGTCCCCAGAGAGAAATAGATACAGATATGTGTTTAATAAAGAATGCTGTTTCTTTTGTCTGCAACTTAAGTTTTGGATGTTTACATATACTCCCTTTTCAAAGTGTAATCTCAGTTTCTTCAGAGTTGAATTCCCTGACTTTTCTCAGTTCACAGTTATGACTCGCTGCTTCCTCCACCTGCACAGACCGACAGTGTGAACCTAAACTCTGTACAGCGTGTACTTCCTGTTTTTGTACAACAACTTCAGATCACGAGCAGAAACGGCATTTAGATGTTCTACTTTAGTAAACATACAAATACAACAATTTATATATATACTTTATAATACTCCACTGAAAGTAAACTCGAGCATTATTATCTAAATGTACTGATACGTTTCAAAGTAAAAGTACTGGTCTTGCATTAAAACAGTTTGCTTAAAAAATGATTGTATTTTTGAGCTGATCATATGCTTCTTATAATGTACAATGTTCTGCTGTAACACGTGACCACAGCTGTTCAACAAATGCATTACATTGCATTTGGCTGACGCTTTTATCCAAAGCGACTTACAATAAGTGCATTCGACCAAGAAGATACAAACTTGAAGAAAACAGAATCATATAAGCGATAGTCGAAGTATAAAGTAGCTTCAAATGGAAATGTATATCATGTTTAATTTGATGCTGCATCAGATAAAGTTTTTTAACTTCCAGGTATTTTATTCATTTATAATGATTTGTTTACATAATTTAGCTTAACCTGTTAGCCAGGAGTTCTTCCCAGAATATGGCGGAAGTAAATGAGCCATAAACTTCCCAGGTAATTGCATCACTAAGAACCCAGCATAAACAAAAGACTTTACCCAGAGAGGGCATTCACAAGAAGAAAACTATTGCATATGAAACTTGTATGCCTAAAACTCTGCTATGCATTGCATTCTGTGCACTACAATGCATAAGGCCACAGCAAGTAATGTCCATTCATGCAACTGTATGTACTACTCATAATATAAATATAGGAATGTCAGTATAAATGTAAACTTATATGGATACTTACCCCTCTCCTCACTGTGTGCAGACGGGAAGGTGGTGGGTTTCGTCATGTACTACTTCACGTATGACCCCTGGGTCGGCAAACAGCTATACCTGGAGGAGTTCTACGTGATGGACGAGTACAGAGGTAAGGGAAAATAACTGCTCATCATTCAGCATTTCATTATCTCGTCAGCTGCTTTTTTTTTTTTTTTTAAATTAATGAGCTCTCTCTGTTCTTTCTCTCCAGGAATGGGCATTGGCTCCGGGCTTCTGCGCCACCTCAGTGATGTGAGTATGTTTACTGACCAGAGATACATTGAGTTGCAATGGTGCACATTTTCCATTTGAATGTTTAAAAACCTGAGAAAATGCGAGGAAGTCCTGGAAAAATAGCATCATATTAAAACATTTTCTTCATTGCTCCACACAGAATGTAAGCTTCCTGACAATAATGCATCTAAATGTCATATTTCCATAACGTTTTTATACATTTAATAGGCAGACATTTTATTTTATCAAGCTGTTAATGATCTGTTCTCTCGCAAGTGCAATGAAAGGAAGAAAAAATGATGGTTTGAATGAAATAAAACACCCAGTGAGATGAGAAAAATACAAATATTTCGGTATATTTTCCTGTCAAATAACTTATTTTAGTACAGAAAACTACTCCATTTGTAATGTTTGTGTTTCCCCTTTTTTTTTTTTAATCTGTTTTCTCGTCAGACTTTTATAAGTACACATGTTAACTGTAATCCCTGTTTCTCTTGCAGCTGGCGATGAATACGCGCTGCACTGGCATGATGTTTGTGGTGGCCGAAAACAACGAGCCGTCCATCCAGTTCTACAAGCTGCGCGGCGCCGAGGATCTCTCCCAGGAGGAGGGCTGGAGGCTCTTCAGGTTCAGCAAAAACAGCCTGGTGAAGATGGGCACGCCAGCGGAGGAGTGACGGAGGAAGAGGAGGAGGAGGCTGATGGAGACAGAGATCAGTCACCTCGCTCCACTCAGAGTTCAGCTTTTTAAAAAGGGGAATTGTGTTTCACAGTAATGTTTCTGTTTGTATTTCACAATACGAGTAAGCCTTTTGTTTATCGCTAATATGTAGCTCTGAATCACTTATTGTAACCTCTTTTATGTTGGTCTTACTGCGTTTGATTGCAGAAACACTTAATATGACTAAAGTTTGAAATAAAACTAACTTTTCAAACATGGTCTCATGCTTTAAACTTTTCTTTAAACGCCTTTTAAACTATGCCAGTTTAATAATATTTGTTTGACTCATTTTCAAACTGCAGCTGTCACTTTACATTGGGAAGTTTAACACTAGATTATACACTGTCTTGAACATAGTACTACAAGTTTTAAGACATGATCAATGTTACATTTATCCTTAAGCGTATAAAAATGACCTAGATCTTAAAAGTTTATCATACAAATGTGGCTTTAAACTGGATGAGAAGTCAATTCACGCCAGCTTCCAGCAGACACGTAAGACATTACATGTTAGACGCTTTTATCCAAAGCGACTTACATACTCAATACTGTGGACAATCCCCACAGGAGCAATTTGGGGTGAAGTGTCTTGCCCAGAGACACAACGACATGCTGACTGCAGTGGGGTTTGAACCTGTGCTACCCTGATCCGAACACCAACGCACTAGCCCACTGCGCCACAGCCTCACAGTAAGATTTTTTTTTTTTACACATTCTAATGCGGATATGTTCAGTTTCAGTTAAATGTACACAGGGGTCAGTGTATTTCCTGTGTTTGCACCGCCTACTGCCACATCAACTTAGAGGGTGAACAAATGGTCTCAAAGTTGTGTATATATGTAGCTCTGAAACTGGACATACTGATGTTCCCACTGATGGATCCTTTAAACAATGTGCAGATAAACAGTTAAACCTCATGTTGCTACTCCCTTAGTGGGGAAACACAGGAACGTGATGTTTGTACTGAACAAAGATTGATATATTTTTTGCTACTTTGGCAGTTTTTTCACACGCAGCGCACATGTGACAACTGGATATTTTCAACGAGAGTTTTAAAGATTTGAGGAAGTTCAAAACTGTTTTGTAGTGGGGTTCCTTTTTGTTCCTCTTGGAAGTCTGTAGTCATGGTTTTATCACATGCATTTTATTCCTGCTGACATACCTTTGGTTAGGATCCAGCTGATTTTGCGTCTATTCGGTTAGTCATCATTGCAGTTGAATAAATATAAAAAACTTGACACACTTGCATCTAATCTATATTATATAACTTATCTTTCCTCATTACTATTGCTGCCATGACACCTGATAAGATAGTTCTTATTTTATCATGTATTTAGAAATAGAAGTTTGGTATATTATTAGATTTGATACATTTTTAAGTACTTTATTGATCCCTAACTTTTTGTTACAGCAGCATCTTACCTAGGCATTTGACATTAGTTAAAAATAAAGTGTTAATATAAATATCAACAGTAGTAGTAATAGGTAATTATATTGTGTTCAGATTTTTGAGGGTCATTTAAAAAGCAAAACAGTAATTTAAGGTTATCGTTTATTCTAACTTCTATGTATTTATAGTATGTATTCATTAGATACTACATAAATATATAACTTTTGTGCAAATGCTTAATAAACTGCTGCTGATTTAACACAAGAATTTACCAATGTTGGATCCAAAAAGTAAATTCCTCTTTGTCACCTCATCCTGCTTTAAAAAACTGTATAAAACATGTTAATGGGTATAATTGGTTTTAAATTAAGTTCCTTTAAACCCACATCAACATTGGGAGGGTTCAAATAGCAGAGGAGAGTTGCATCATATCCTCTGCAGAAACATTACATCACGGGTCAAGAGATAAATCAGAACCAGAGGGAGAAAGGGAAGAGGAAATGAGATTAAAGGGAAACATTCCCCCCCACACACACAGCTCTGGTTTTTCTCTGGACGGGCAGCTGACGATGGTTGAATGCATCATCACGAGCCAGACAAAAAGTGAAGAAATATAGAGGAATTGAGACATTTATACTGGGGGGGGGGGGGGCTTACTCCAGTAGCTCCTTTTAATGTTGTAGTACTTTATACACGATCTGACAAGTTCAGAGGATCTTTGTGTTCATTTTGTTTATCCTTCTAGTAATTTCTTATTTATTTTTTGTCATTTCTTTTATACATTTGGTATCATTTTTATGATTGATAAAATCATGATTTATCTTTATGTCAATTAATTTATTTGGTACTTAATATTTATTTTGTATCTATTTATATATTATTACGTATGACACACTTACTCACACAACACACTTTCATGCATGCACACATGGGGTGTTTCTCAATGTCGAGGACGCTTCCTTGGTAGCACATGTCTTCCGAGTCACTTGCTTCAGAAGCGAGGCAAGAATCCTTCCTAGCCTCGGAAAACGAAGAATTGTGGAACAGGCTAACAGGCTAACAGGTATGCGTCATATGCGAGGCCCCGCCTTAAATGGAGCGCGATTTCCGCCAAAGATTTGGAAATTGGTCTGTGCGCAAAGCATTGTGGGGATTTTAAGACCGCGGAGTCTACACATGTGCAGCCTCGAAATTTCTCGCTACGAAGTACGCCGGTGTTGTGTCAAATTATGCACCCCCGTCGTGAAATGCACCCCCTGGCCTGCCGTAAAAAGCACCCCCCCAAAAAAGATGCTTCTATTAATCCCACCCTCAAGCACTTTGGAGGGTATAGTTGTAGGACTAGTACCAATAAATGGAGCACGTTTCATGTATGTGACACATTTATTGTCAGAGATAGAAGGGGTGCATATCGTGGCAACCAGGCTGTTCATAAAAAGCACCCCCCTAAATAAAAATGTTTCTATTAATCCCACCCTCAAGCACTTGATGTAAAAATAATATACATTGTAAAGCACAAGTACAAGCACAAGTATACAGACAGGACGTCACAATAAAAAATAAAAAAATTAACTGAAATAAGTGACGAATGAATGCAAAATCCAGGATTCGACAACCCAACCATCAAAAAGACAACATAGAATAGCGGACTGTTGGAGTCGGGAGGGCTGATCATTTATTCCGGCAAATGACTCAGACCTACTAATTGACCTAATAGAAGTTATTGAGTCTATGTAAGTTTACTGCTTGGCTCAGATCCACCAACGTCAGCAAGATCTCACCTCTATTAACTCCTGAAGAACCAGGTTCAATTAACAGCTGTTTCAATTCAGACGACCCGCTAAATCAAGACACCTCCTCCATACCCATATTTGTGGAAACTGGGCATGGCCTCTGATGTACAGGACTGGACATGACCAGACATATTCTATGGCTATGGCATAAGACACACCTTCCCATGTTTGTGTAAAAAGGTCACAACCTCTAGTGTGCAGGACTTGCAAAATATTATTCTCGGCTATGGCACAAACACCTTTTTGGGGCCTCAGTCTATTTCTCCTTAAGTCAGGAGCCCCCCTCCCTGTGTACTGCTGTGAGGGAAGAGGGAAGAAACTGTCTCCTCTCTTATCAGTGACACCCATAAACCATAATAGGCCTTACACACTCAATTTAACAAACTACTTGTGTTTTGTTTATACTGTAAATATAGAAAACCATAACATATGAAGCATTTTCATTGTGGGTTATACAAGAATATAATTGATTATATTTGATTATAATTAACTTTCGTTTTAAGTATTCAACCTAATATGGAGATCTCAACAGGACTATACATTAAAATGCGCGTTCCCGTGTCAAGGGGTGCATTTCACGACGGGGGTGCATAATTTGACACAACACCGGCCTCGGTAGAATTCCAAGTATGCTGAACATTGGAACAGTCCTTCGGCGGCACTCAATGACGTGGTACAGTATGCTTGAAATAGTGGCTCTGGAGCAGCCTTCCTCGACATTGAGAAACACCCATGTACACCTTAAATACTCCCACAAAAAAAAACATCAAAGAAGAAAAGATGTGTCCTTTTCAGAATCCAGATTTATTTCCATCGCAATAAGATAAAACCTTGTACAGTATATACAGCGCATGATTAGACATGGACAACACACACATTTAGCTCGTTAATTATTATACATCATTTTATTTGGCCCTTTACTGTAACAAGTACGTTTTATCAGCATCAACTGCGACGTGAAAACATCCGGGGGAATAAATATGTCGACATGAATAATTTTTTTTATGTATACTGTTGTAAGCTGCACTTGACACAACGACAGCTCTTCAAAGCTGCACGTATAATGTTCATAATAATAAAAATAACTTCATCATGCAAAGAAAAGGCAAAAAATAGTTGGTCATTTTGAGAAAAGTGCAACAAAAAAATCCATCAGCAGAGACGACAGGTAGTTGGCAAATAATGATTTTTAAACTAACAACATATCATTTATAAATGTTTTTCTAGTCTGCATTGGTCCTTCTACTTAGTTTTTAAACTTCTTCACTAGTTTTTAAAGCATTTCTAAACACAAGTAAAGGGGGGGAGGGGATTCTCCAAGAAGCAGAACACAGGTTTATCTGGATATTCAGAATATTGACTGTCCTGAAAATACCTGCTTCTTGGAAGGGGGGGGGGGTTCAGAAACACACTTTACACGTTTTGGAGATGTTCAACTTAAATAAATAATGAAGTCCTGATTAGTGGCTGTGTGAGAGTGTGTCTGAGTGAATAATTATAATAAGAGTTAATATACAGGAGTCGTACAGGTGTGTGTGTGTGTGTTACTGGAAAGTGGAGTCTCTCAGCTTGTGTCGCTGCTCTCTGTTTTCTCCTTTTTCTCCTGAGAAAAGGAAGAAAAAAAAGACTTTTAAACAAAAGTTGTAACAATTAACATCAATATACACAATATTAATAGTAAAAAAAAGTTATTAATATTGCACTTTTTAAAACAAAGAAGCAAAATGCTTTCAAAGGCAAAATTAAAATGGTGAAAACTATGATAAAAACATTTGAAAACACCGATACACAACATTAAGCAAAAGTAGGTACACATGAGAAATGGAATATTTCAAACAATATACAATAATGTAGGAAATAGAAGTAAATATATAAATAGCTTTTAAGAAGGGATCAAGCAGATTAAAGTATAACTTTAAATTATAGCTATTGTAATTAAAGGCTTATGAATGATTGGTCACTGAGACCCACCTTCTTTTTTCCAAACGGAGGATTTTTCCAGAGATTCTCCAGGTTGCCGCGGCCACGCTGAGCCAAGCTGTACGTCGAGTCACGACCCCCCTGGTGAACACACAGGACGAAACATGACACACACATCCTTCATCTCAGCCAATCAGAAACCTTCAGAGAAAATTCAGCTAGTTATCTTAGGAAAATAGGTTAAGAGTTCAAGCTACTTTTTTCTGATGCTGTAGAACTGTGTCATATATTTTTTACACCAATAACATCAACAGATTTGCCATTATTATTTAAAATGAAAACACTGCATTGGGTTTATAAGTTTGCAGCTTTTCTTGTTTTTCTGCCAAACAGAAGCTAGACGTCTGTTTTTATCTCGTCCGCTCATATGTTTTCACATCTGGACCCTGCCCTGCTAGTCTGAGCGTTTCAGCTGTGAATGTGAGCAGAAGTGTGATCAGGGCGTGTCGCTTCTCTTTTTTTTGTGTCGGCTCTCTGGGTGGAAATACAGAAAATAAAATGAGCCAGACATCAGTGGAAATAGAAACACAAGTCACAGCCAGGACTTCCTGCAGGGAAGCACAGCCCTTTCCTCACAGGAAGTCCAGTCACAGATCAAACACTACCTAACGCATATTCTGATGAGACACCGTTTATAGGATGAGGGGGGGATTTTCCTAAATAACTCCCATAGGATGAACTTTCTGTCTCAAAAACGTACTAACCAGGAATAATTTGGACGTGAAAAGAAATTCCTGCTTTCACAGCTGTTTCCTGAGTTTATTTCAGTTCCAGGAAGGAAGATTAAATAAAGACCTGAAAACAGATTTAAATGTTTTTGCTGACTTAACTATCCAGTGTCCCGTGGTGTACCAAATGTAATGGAACTGCAATCAATATTTCAGCAAAATTGCCTTTAGTCAGATATAAGATTTAAGAAACAACTCGGGATATATTAGGTTGTCAAGATGTTTCATGAGGCAGTGTGAAGTTTTATACAGATGACCCTGATGTACAGTTGAGGCCTACATTATTAGCCCCCCAGGAGTTATTTTCCTAAAATTCTTCCCAATGTTTCCAGCATTGATAAAACTTGATATAATCAAACATACACCAGTGCTATTTCGTAGCTTTTGGTACATTTTGGGAAATAAAATAAGTTTTTAGGCTTGCTTTATATCAAATATAGTGAAAAATGGGTTGGTCAAAAATATTAGCCCCCAGGCCATTAATAGTCAATAGTGTACCCTTTCTGAGCCACAACTGACAACAACCTAAAGTAGTTCTTTACTAGGTTGGCACAGGTCTCTTGAGGGATTTTGGCCCATTCTTCCATTGCAAATTGTTCCAGCTGGTGCAAATTGCGTGGTTTCCGAGCATGGACATTCACTTTGAGAACCCGCCACAGATTCTCAATAGGATTAAGATCTGGGCTATGTGCGGGCCACTCCAGCACCTTGGTTTTGGTGTCCTCACAACTGTGTTCCTTGAAACATCAACTCCAGAAGAGGCCAGGTCAGCAACAATCATCTTGGCAGATGTCCGGGGATTCTTGCTGACAGTTCTTGAAATCTTGTGCTTTCGACCACGCCCAGGTTAGTTTCTTACAGAATTTGTCTCCTTGTACTTCGCAATGATGCAACGTACAGCAGTTCTAGACAATGTGAAGCGCTTGGCAATAGCAGTATAGCCTTCCCCCTTATCATGAGCCTCCACTATCTTCTTTCTGAGCTCAAGACTGATTTCCTTTGTCTTTGGCATGGTGAGTAGGAGTAGTAGTATAGTCCCTCAATAAGGTATTCAAGTGCCTGTTTCTTGGAGTCCTTTTATGCTGATTGAATGCTCAGGTGTGGCTTGAAAGCTGATTGATTGATTAGGTGTGTTTTGAAAGCAAAAATTCACTTGGGGGCTAATATTTTTGACCAACCCATTTTTCACTATATTTTATATAAAGCAAGCCTAAAAACGTATTTTATGTTCCAAAATGTACCAAAAGCTACTAAATAGCACTGGTGAATGTTTGATTATATCAAGTTTTATCAATGCTGGACACATTGGGAAGAATTTTAGGAAAATGTTCCATAACTCCTGGGGGGCAAATAATTTAGGCCTCAACTGTATATTTCCAAAACAACACAAACCTTCAGTACGGACGCAGCCTGCTGAGGGTAGAACATGGAGGCGCTGAGAGCCATGAGTCCAACAGGAAACACCACCTGCTTCACCCTGGAGCCTGAGAGGAGAGAGCAGGAGTCAGAGAGCTGCTGCAGAGAAATGCCTGTTTCCACTACTTATCTCAAAGACAGACGGACAGCTCCTTGTTTGTGTGATGTCGCCTGCTACTGGGTCTTATAGTTGTTGTTTATTAGTCAGTCCTGTATAGGCAAAGCTCGTTATTTTAAACAAAATCATGATGATTCTCAGACATGGTGATTAAATTATCTCACATTTTTAAGAGAAACTTGTCAATTAAATCTAGATAACAGTCTAGTTTCAAGCCACATTTTTACCTTAAAGATTTCTTTGATCTTGAGTTATCAGAGAAAGAAGTGCAGGGGGAAACTTTGATTTTTAACATCAAACGGCTTCATTCACTGTTTTTGCCGGTTTTAATCAGAGGAGAGGAGGAGACGCTCAAAACCTCTTGAACCATAAACACTAAAGTAATCCATACCGGTAAAAGCTGACTGAATCGATGGAAATGAACGCCACCAAACCAAATTGTGCCGTTAAAAGAGCAATCAAAGACACCCTAAAGTTATATTAACATTTCCAATTCTCTTGAGGTGGATGGGGAGCGGTGGGAATTTGTATTTGTTTGTAGTAGAACACAGACTGACGTTTTCACTGAAATGCCAATTATGATGGAATGCAGGTCAGTGAGTGTTTTTGTGTGAGTGCAAATGTTAACCTTTGGCCAAGAAAAGTCCAAGGATGCCAGAGAAGCCCACGGCCGCCACACTGTCGTAGAGGTCAGCAGGGGGGTTACTGAGGAACTGGTACACATCTGAAAAATAAAGGGGAGAAGAAAATATAAATATATCTGAAAACGTGAACACACCTGAGGTCTTTAAAAGGAAATTCAACAGATTTAATAAGTGGAGCATATTGTTAATTGTTCTTAAGCAAAGATGTGTTGACATTGTTTTGTAAACGAACAAGTCAAACAACATTTCTTGGAGTCTACGGAGACTTCACATGTTTACACTCACAGCACATAATGCTCTGCCCTCTGACTGGGAACAAAAACAATGTGATTTCTGACCTGTGACAGTTTTTATGGAGGAGCTGATTGTGGGCTCCACAGTCTTGTAAACTTGCTGAGGTCCAAAGATCAGCAGGAGACAAAGAAAGAGACAGGAGCGGGGGTTACTTTCATCTGATAACAGCCCTATCATCGTGTTCAACATGCACAATGGAAACAACGGTTGTACATTTGGTCTGGCTCTTTCATCTTTACATAGCTCTTTTGTATCAGAATTGTTTTTAAAACCTGTTTCACACCTTCCCCCCGGTACCGGGCGGATAAACGCGTCATTTGCAGGAAACATCGTCTAAGGAATCTTAATATTGAATAAAACTATGAATGTGTTATATCCATGTAATGGGAAGAAACTCAGCTAACTGATCTTTTTAATTTTTTTTTTCAAAAAAAACCCACATTGCTAGCACTCAGCCTCTGAATTAGCCTCAAGCGAAAAAAACGTAACATACTAAGGCAACTAAACTCACTCTAACTCCCTTATTACTTATCCTAGATGCACAACCAACCACTCTTTTTTGGTGTCCTGGAGACACTGAATCTACCGGTGCCCTCCTCAACACTCAGTGATAAACATTCGCGACGCTCTAAACGAAAGCGTACATCAGGGCTATTCAATTGGCGGCCCGCGGGCCAAATCCGGCCCCCGGGTGATATTTACTGGCCCTTTGAGTATAATGTTAAAAAGTTTAATTTTTAAAATAAAGTTTAATTTTTTTTTTTTTTATATAAATGTTTTGGGCCAGAGTGACTTTATTCCAGAGAGGGTGTTAAATTGAGAGATAGAGGGGAAGACATTGCTTGAAAACTTTGGCGGGCTCGGGTTTCGAACCCACCTACTAGCTACTGTAGTGACAACTCCTGTCATTTATTGCGTCTCTGTGCGCGTCCTCGCGGCTCGCGTTGCCCTTCACTACAAGCTCGCGCACCTTCAACGGTTTCGCGCCAATGGTACGATTCATCAAACCTGGTCAGCATAGTTGGATATCAAAATGTCTCTTTCTACGTTAAAAAAACGAAAGGTTGACACCGAAAACCGGCAATTCAACAGCGAGTGGAAAGATAAGTACTTGTTTGTAAATGTCAGTGGAAGGCCCGTGTGTTTAATCTGTAATGAGTGTTTATCGGTGTGTAAAGAGTACAACTTGAGAAGGCATTTTAAGACAGCTCACGCCAACTTTGACGCCACTTTTCCAGCGGGCTCTGATGCTCGCCGCCAGAAGATTTTGGGGTTAACTTTGTACTATGACCAAAGACGTAGCTCCCTGTTTCGGGCTTGCACTGACCAAGAGAGAGCTATCGCAGCATCCCTACGAGTGGCCTGGATATTAGGCAAAAAGAAAAGGCCTTTTACGGACGCAGAGACAGTCAAAGACTGTATGCTTGCATCAATTGAGGAAGTGGTTGCAGATGAGAAAATCCGAAAAAGCGTTATTGACTCAATTAAGAACATTCCGATTTCTGACACGTCAACATCAAGGAGAGTGGAGACCCTTGCATCGGACGTTTTTGAGATTCTCTTGGACAAACTGAGAAAGGCGGAGGTTATGTCGCTAGCTATTGATGAATCCACTGACAGCAGCGATGTTGCACAACTGTGCCTCTATGTTAGATTTTTTGATGGTGAGTGCTTTCGGGAGGATCTACTTGGATTAATTCCTTTGGATGGACACACGACCGGTGAGGTGATGTTCCACAAAGTGGTTTCGTTTTTCAAGGAGCACAAGTTGGAATTGGATCGTATTAACATGCTTGTAACGGATGGGGCACCTGCGATGTCGGGCCGAACACAGGGACTGTCCGCTAGGCTGGCAGATGTGGCTCCACAGCTGAGATCGCTTCATTGCCTCATCCACCAAAGCCTCCTGTGCGCAAAACTAAGTGGTGAGTTAAAAAACACAATGGACTGTCATGGCGATTATTAACTTTATTCGTTGTAACTCCAGTTTACAGCACCGCCTTTTCCGCCAGATGTTGTCAGACATGTCAGCTCAATATAATGATTTGCTCATGCACAGTGACATTAGATGGCTAAGCAAAGGAAACGTCTTGAAACGATTTTGTGAACTTAAGGAGGAGATCATGGCGTTTCTCCGCAATTCAAAACACAAAAAAGCCAACGCCTTTCTGTGTCTGATAGAGAATGATGAGTTTTACGCTGCCGTTTGCTTTTTGAGCGACATTTTCCAACATCTGAACCAACTCAATTTGGAGCTGCAGGGCAGAGATAAAATGGTCACACAACTTGTGGAGAGACTCCATGCGTTTCAAAAAAAGCTCACACTTTTTTCTACGGATTTATGTCCAGGCAAAATGCTCCATTTTCCAACACTGCGCACTGCAGGTTTACAAATCACCGAGGTGATGACTGGATTTATGGACGCATTGAAAACCAACTTTGCCGCGAGGTTTGAACATTTCAGTCTCCCGGCTGAAGTGATGAGATTTGTGAAGGATCCTTTCTCTGTGAATGTAGAGGGAGAGTTTGCACTGAAAGCAAAGGAGCTGATTGTGACATTAAATGAGGCGTCTTTACAACTCGAACTCATTGACATTCAGTCATCAGATGACCTGCGACAGTCATTTCAGCTGGCAGGTTCTGAAAAGTTCTGGACTCATGAAGTCAGCTACGAGAAATTCCCTCATTCAAGGGGTCTTGCACTTTTTGTCCTCACAATGTTTGGCTCGACTTACACGTGCGAATCGGCATTCTCACACATGAATGCCATAAAAACTAATAATCGCGCATCCCTCACTGACCAGCATCTGCATCACTGTATGCGTATTGCCATGACAACGTATACTCCCGACTTCCCTGCTCTTGCTAAATCGAAAAAATGCCATTTCTCTCATTAGATGGCACATATCTGCCAAGTTGGTTGCAGACTGTATGTCAGTTATCACTATGTTAATCAAAAAAGGTTTGAGTTTTAAAAGGCTGTGTGTTGTGGTTTTGTAATTAATACAAGTCTTTTGATAATTGTTTTTTGCTTTTAATTAAGCAATTGATGTGGTATGGCTCACATGTCTTTATTTTTATTATACCATAATATGCACTGTTGTTTGTGTATGGCCCTAAATTGCTATTTTGTGTGAATTATTAGATCATTTAATCTAAATCCAATGATGTTGATGGTTATATTAGCTTCACATGTACTGAGTTCTGAACTTGCCATTTATAAAGGCCTTGGGGCTATGTTTGATTTAATTAAACAAAATATATGCACTCCACTATGCTGTTGTAGTATTTACTGTATCTGAAGCTCTTAATATGATTGCTCATATTTCAAGCCATTTTTTTTTTCTAGCCGGCCCCTTGCTTTGGATAATTTTCATCAACCGGCCCCCATTCTAAACTAATTGAATAGCCCTGGCGTACATCATCACATGTGGAGCTAAGAAGCTAAACACGTAAATATGGCTTACCTTGGTCAAAAGTGGTCTTCAATGGCATTAAAACGATAAAAAAACGATGCTGCAGTTAATCCATAGGTTCATCCTATGTGTCTGTGCCTTCTTTGAAATTATTTCTGATAATCCATAAGCAATACAACTGCGTTTTAGTTTCCAAACTCCAGAAGGAGACATTCCTCCAGTTTGGTTTCGTTTTCCACACGCGAAGCAACCACATTTTTTCTTTACAATGTGTCTGGGTGGGAGCCTCCCCCTTCGATTCTATTGGCTCTAACGGTCACAAGGGTATGTCAACCAACCAAATCGAGCAAGGGGGGCCAGAGATAGGTCAAATCCACCCAAATGACCCCAGATGGCCCAGTTTTTGGCTAAATCTCTCTAAAAAGGTCAAATTTCACTTGTTTTGCATCAATCTTGATACAGGGTACTTATTATATGTTGTACTTTGGATTCCTAAAGCTTTTAGTCTACTAACCCATCATCCAAGGGTAGTTTTCACTATCTGTAAAAAATAATTTTTGGACGGACACTATAATTTACAGTTTTTTACTATGTAAAATCTGAATTTTCTTTAAAATAAAAAACATTTATATTGATTCTGACACTTCTACATCCAACTCACAGGTTTATCATTACTTTGAGAACAAAGATTATTAATTTAACCCTTTTAGAAGGGAAGATATGGTCATTTGTTCTGGGAATGTCATTTTCGAGCCTGAGACCTGAAAAACAGGCTCAGAGTGGAACAGGTTTTAACACCTCAACACAAACAACAGTTTAAGAAATGTTCACGTTACTGACCTCCACTTTTTCAAATGCAACGTGACCTGTTTGCTGCAAAAAAAGAAAGTTAGTTTATTAATGCACACTTTTACAGTATATTATTTTCCCTTTAAAACATAATTCATTAATGTATTTTCCTTCTATCAAGGTTCAAACGCTTGATTTAGTCTTTCCACATTGTCCTTTTTTACTGTTTCCTCAGATAGAGTTCATTATTAAAAATAGCCCATGTTTTCCTGTATGCAGAAAAATGTGATAAAACCCAGAAGAGTGCAGGATCAGAGAAGCAGATAAATATGTCTTTGTACGAGAAAGGCTTTCACGCCTCACTGCAAGCTGACTTTTCACCTTTTTTAAATTAAACACATTCCTCAAACACTGTCTGTGCCAAAATGTCTTTCATCCAACACCAATAATAACTGATGGGCTTCACATCCACGTATTGCTCGTGTGACGTATTCTGGTTTGAAAAGTGATAAACATGCATCAGCTGCTTTGGGTTTCACCCATGTGATTGTATTTTTTGCATTATTGGCACATAGGAGTCACACAGCTGACCTCAAAACGGTTGTTTAACTGAGGAAGACCCAAGAGGGATGTGAGAAGGACAGTTTGGGTTTTAGATTCTTTAACATTTTCACAAAATCTATGAAAACATGAGTCTAGATTAGGTTTGAAAACAAGGTTTAAACTCAGCAGGACTGATTCAGATTCAGAAAGACTTATAGATCTCACAGCTCTCCATTTGTTATAGCAGCTCACAACTTAGGCTGGTATTATTTATGTTTATTCTTTCTTGGTCAATATAGCATGCATTGAGAAATGTAAAAAAATATCCACATAAAAACATGCCGGTGGTAGTAATTCTGAAATATATATATACATACCCCATTGTTATGCTATTATTAAACTTCTTTGAAACCGAGTGGTTAGTGTGCGCACCACATGCATTCTTTTATTAAATGTTTCCCTCAACTATCAAATAAGGGAATGAAACGATCAAACATGTGTCTTTAGTGTCGGATATGAACACACCTGGCACTGGTTGGTGTATGGTTCTGCCAGCTTCCTCAGCGAGGCGACGCTCTCCTCCAGGGGCCCGGCCATTGGCTCCACATGAGGCTCTGCTTCAGGGATGTTGTATAATGACGGCAGCTGAAACAAACAACAACAATAAGGTGTTAAAGTATAATCAAAACTGCCTTCAATCCACTCAAACTGCCCCACAGGCCAGGCTAAATAAGTGTGTTTTGTTAGTTTTGACTTGGATATTAGTTAAACAAATACATAGTTAAGTTATTGATGATTGATCATAGACTAAACAGTTTGGAGTCTGGTATTTGATTTTACATTAAACCAACCCAGATGATGACACACTGCTGTAATGGCTTACTCCTTTGAACACAAGATGCATAAACAACACTGTCCCTATTGATGGTGTAAAAGGTCAAATTTGAGCAAAGATGAATTAGTGCACCTAGTTTTCCTCCTGGGGGAAATACATAGCAGTCTGATACAATCAGAGAAATCTGGAGTGAATCAATAACATTGTTTTCCAACAATAATACAAACACTTAGGAGACTTTTCAAGGATTGCAATATTGTCACCAGAATATCCAGAACGGCATTTACATACACTTACTTCCTCTTTCATTTATATCTGCTAGTTGATAATACTTCAACTTATTTTTAAAGTTAATGAAACTCCCTGATAACACTTTCAAACCCAATTGCTACCGTGGTTGCTGTGAGCATGGCCGTACCCACCATTGAGGTCACCGAGGCCCGGACCTCGGTAATGCTTTCGAGGTGTATATAATAAAACTTGTGAAATAACTGCACATAATTAACAGGGTTCTTTGTAGTACTTCCATTTACTGGCGTTGGGGGCGTTGCACAACTAAGTAGCCTACATTAAAGCAAAACATCAATTTATCAACCATCAGCCGCAGTCCGGACTTGTACCCATGGATGTATAATAAGGGAAGGTGAAATAAATACTTTACATTAAGTTATTTTCGTGTTGTGTAAATAATGATGTAATGCTTTGGAAAGGCAAAGAATAATAAAAATATATATATGTACATTTCACCTTTATTTTACGATTGCAGGGAAAAATGATCGGTACGTGCATAATTAATGATTATGCAAAAATACCAATGTCAACAATGATGAACACTAATATTACGAATACAAATGTATTATTGGTCTTAGTATTGTAATTAGCTTTTACAAACCTATTGTAATCAATGGAGAAGATACCACCATTTTGGACAATTTGGGTTAGGGTAAATATACTATTTTGTTTTCATCTAGGGGAATAAACAATATGTGCACAGTTGAAAGACTTTAAAACCCTTGAACTTATAAAAGCAGGGATTTCTCATTGCCAGGAAAAAGGGTAATTGTATTCAGATAGTAAAACAGAAACAGAGAAAGGACTTGGTCAGCATGCAAATACCAGGTCTTAATTATCCTCAGGATAGAAAATCTGCTCTGCCGGAGATGGAAAACCTTCTCAGATAAGATGGAAACAACCAACAATGGTGGGATTTTGGTGACAGTGTGACTATCTTGGACAAAGTTATAGTCGGGGTTCCAAATCCGGCAGCACCAACACCTGGTCTGCCACATGTGGAAGCCCCCCTTTAGTTTCTCCCCTGCTGAGCCCTGAGTAAAATGCTTTTGTGTGCACAGACTACAGGTGAACAGCAAACAACAGTTAGATTTTGGTGGGAGTACGACCACCCTGGACAAAGTTATAGTGGGGGTTCCAAATCCGGCAGCACCAACACTTGGTCTGCCACATGTGGAAGCTCCTCTTTAGTGTTTCACCTGCTGAGCCCAGAGTAAAATGCTTTTGTGTAGGACCTCAGTATTTACGAAATCCTGGGTACGGGCCTGGCTGTAAGTGATATAATGGTTTAAGTACAATTCAGGAATAAGTAAACTATAGACATGGATATATTTTATGTATAAGAGTGATTGTGGTATTGTTTTTCTTTTGTTATTTATTAGACCTGTACCTAGTGCAATTCCCACTACAGCAACACTACAAACATATGATGATCAAGATTCAATGGTTTGGATTTACAGTGTATTGGCATAACCTTAAACATCCAAAGCACTAAAATGCAACATACACATTCATGGTGCTTAAATATAAATCCATCAAATTCATTTACAATAGGAAAACACAGACATGTACTGCACAAACAATACTTTAAGTTAGGTGTTTAATCAGGGTTCGAGTTATAAACTGAGCTCTATGGGGGTCTCACACCACACACACCACACACACACACACACACACACACACACACACACACACACACACACACCACACACACACACACACACACACACACACACACACACACACACACACACACACCACACACACACACACACACACACAACACACACACACCACACACACACACACACACACACACACACACACACACACACACACACACACACACACACACACACACACACACACACCACACACACATACCACACACACAACACCACACACACACACACACACCACACACACACACACACACACACACACACACACACACACACACGTATTTGGGAACCTATCCATGTGAACATATTTTGGGGGTGGACCTCAAATCCCTGGTAAGATATTTTTTTAATTTTAGAGTTAAATGCATCAATCTGGTGCATTTTGAGGGGGAAATAAAGAGACTAGATCTATGGAAACACCCATATGAAACAGATGCCACATCAAGTAGACAGACAGTCACCCTGTGTGAGGCAAACCCACATTTGCGCAGCGTTGCGTTCACAATAGCCTACATTAAAAAAAAAAAATCGCTAGGCCATCGGGAAACCTCCCGGCCCTCCCGATGGCCAGTCCGGGCCTGCCAGCAGCCCTCCACTTGCTACAAACTTAAATATGAAAACATAGCCGTGGGAACATGTTTCAAATGGGGGGTGCTGTGGGGATGACACCAGGGCCGGTTCTGACCAATTTGCTGCCCTAGGCAAGATTTTTGCTGGTTCAATTATATCTTATTTTATCAGTTAACATTTATTTATTCATCCATATTTTTTAATCTCTCCAGTTTTAAAGGATATTGTTGGTTTACTGTCCTATAGTATACATGTGCCAAGAGCAAGGACTGTCTTAGGTAAGACAGCTTTTATGTGCGCAGCTCCACTTGCTTGGAACAATCTTCAGCAAGAATTGAAACTGAGCAATCTCATTCCTCTGCATGTTTTTAAAGCTAGGCTAAATGAAATGCTCGTTGATACTATGGGCACTTGTAAATGTCTATAACTATGTAAATGTATCTTGTAAATATAATGTATGATGTCCTTTATTGTTTTATGTTTCATGTGGAACCTCCAAAGTAACTTCCTGAAATGTAATTGTCTGCGGTGATTCTACGGAGTCCCCAAAGGCCCAAAATTGTACACACAAAACATATTTTCGGCTGCCCGGGCCTAAGGAAGTAGCTCTACTTATGAAATCTCTGTTAGTTTAAACTCCCACTTCACTACTTTACATTCAAAACAAATAGCTTATAAAATGTGGCACGGCATTATTGATAAAGCTACATATTAGTCTATAAAATAATTACATCATACTTATCTTAACCAGCAACACCAATAAAATACTGCTTCACATAAATGCATCGCAAATAATCATCAGTTTTTATTCAATGCATATAGAGGCAACTGAACCACACATCAACATTTCATCCATGCATTTCTTCACTTGTCAGTTGTTGTTCAAGCTCTCAAACAAACAAGCGGGCAGTACATCACATCGACTCTTTTTCTGCTACTTTGACAACATGGTTGCAACCGGTTTTCGTGCTGTTGATGCCAATTTTCATTTTTTTCTATAGTGAGTTGATGATTTCATAAACTAAGAGTGAGGTACATTTTCGCCTCGCAAATTTTCCATCCAAATGAAGCAACATTTCTAAATCATTTTCAGACAAATTTGACTACACATGTTAGTGTTGTTCGATCTTATTGTCTTATATTTGTGTACAGCACTTTGAATTGCTTTGTGTTGAAAGCAGTGGCGTCGCCTGGCCTGGGCATCCGGGGCTTTAGCCCCGAATGTTTTTTCTGTAGCCCCGGACAATTCTCCCTCAATAATATAATACATTAACCGTGCTTTACGTGAACCTCATCATGACACAAGAGAGGACGGCAGCACTGTAATTTCCCGTGTTCAGTGAATGCAACAGAGGCATGACACCAGACCAATCAGAGAGTTGCATGGAAATAAACGTGTGTCATTCAAGCTCGGCTCTGTGTGTGTGTGTGTGGCAATAGCGCATGTGAGAGAGAGAGAGAGGGGGAGAGAGGGAGAGAGGGGGAGAGGGGGAGGGAGAGACCGGTGTCAGCATGGACCGTGTTGTTAGCATCTGGTTAGCTAGCTGCACTAACGGACATAAGGAGCTGTTTGTTCCACAACAAGCTGGAGGAGAGTCCTCTCCTCTCAGACTGAGAGACTCAGGTGAGCTAAAGGACTCTTAAGTGTTTAGATAGTTAACTTTAGTCTAAGTTATCTCAGTGGGTCTCAAACGGTTTGGTCACAAATTATTCAAAAGATTATTTCCGAGGCACACCTTCATATGATCATTATAGTTATTAAAAAAAAGAGAATAAAGGAAAAACAGTTATGAAATACTATATTGCAGTAAAACAAGAATAGAGTTTAAAAGGGGAGTGATTTGTAAAATATCCATAAAGAAAAAGTACATCTGTTTACAGTTCTGCTTCATATGGGTGTTGAGAGAGGTATCCATAGATCTCTTCATTTTGCTCTCAAAGTGCACCAGATTGATGCATTTAACTTCAATATTTAAAAAAAAAAATCTTCCCGGGGGAGCATCCCCCCGGACCCCCCACGAGGAGGTGAGCCCCCCACTCATAAAAAATACCACTTTACTCCTGCCTATATGCCGTGAGCTGATTATCGAGCCTTCATTGTAACAGTCGCGGGTGTACTGTGTGTGTGCGTGTGGGGAGTGTTGCAGTAAAAAATGCCACTGTAGTGCCGCCGCCACTGTGGGCTAAGCCCCGAATGTTTTCAGGTCCAGGCGACGCCCCTGGTTGAAAGGTGCTCTATAAATAAACTTGCCTCGCCTTGCCTAGTGATGACTCACAATCTACTAGGATTAATAAATGTCCAAAGTGTCTATTACGTTAGTAGGAAATCCAACCTAGAGCAACTGAGCATTGGAATAAAACATGTATGTTTCATAAGGCCCAATGAGAACAAACACATCTAAACAGGAAAGTGTAAAAACATGTTGAATCATGAAACATCTGATAGAACAAGACACACCTAGTTTTTGTTTTTCTAAAAACAAAACAATGAGGTAGATACTAGCTGTCATTTTTTTTAAGGAGGGGCAGCTTGGGCGTATTGTTGTACATAGCCGTGGGAACATGTTTCAAATGGGGGGTGCTGTGGGGATGACACCAGGGCCGGTTCTGACCCATTTGCTGCCCTAGGCAAGATTTTTGCTGGTTCATTTATATCTTATTTTACCAGTTAACATTTATTTATTTATCCATATTTTTTAATCTCTCCAGTTTTAAAGGATATTGTTGGTTTACTGTCCTATAGTATACATTGGAATGATTTCAAACCTGTTTTTATTTATCCTAATAATTATAAAGGTGTGCCTTGTGATCAAACCGTTTGAGACCCACTGAGATAACTTAGACTAAAGGCAAGGCAAGGCAAGGCAAGGCAAGGCAAGGCAAGTTTATTTATATAGCACCTTTCAACACAAGGTAATTCAAAGTGCTTTACAAAAATGGAAGACATTTTAAAAATGGCATTTAAAATCAGTCATTAAAAAGGAAAGATAATAAAATAAACATTAAAAGAAAAAATACATGGATAAAAGTTAAAAGTTACAGTGCAGTTTAAGATGTGAATAGTTCAATTAAAAGCAGCGGCAAAAAGAAAAGTCTTCAGCCTGGATTTAAAAGTAGTAAGAGTTGCAGCGGACCTGCAGGTTTCTGGGAGTTTGTTCCAGATATTTGGAGCATAATAACTGAATGCTGCTTTACCATGTTTAGTTCTGACTCTGGGGACAGAAAGCTGACCAGTGAAAGTAAAGTAAAGTAAAGTAAAGTGAACTATCTAAACACTCAGAGTCCTTTACCTCACTGAGCCTCTCAGGGCACATGGAAAATGTAACCGGGGTGAAAAGGGTGTTACCTTTACTTAATTATGAATGTGAACATCAAGGCCGAAAATTCGTTTTTTTTGTATTATATTTGTATTATATTTCCATTTAATCTTGTGGACGTGCAGATTCCCTGTCCTCCATCAGGGGGTGCTGCAGCACCCTCAGCACCCCTACTTACCACGGCCCTGTATGAAAAGGTTCAACTGCGCACACACACATCATCTCGGCTCGCGCAGCACGCTAACAGGCATAGATTGTGCAATAAAGTATTGCGCACCTTGGAGGTGCAGCGCAGGCATATTGTTATTCAAGAGATGCGTTGTTCTTTCGGAAAACATGTTTTTCTTTTCAATAATACTCATTACATTGACACATGCATTATTTGTGATTAAAATAATGGTTGTTGGTAATGTATTAGCGACCCCCACAGATGTATGATTTCACTGCGTCCGTGGGAGCTCAGACCCCTCCTTATGGGAGCTCAGCTCCCATTGGCTCCCACATAACTCGAACCCTGTGTTTAATGCAGGACTGCGGGAGTATTTTCCCAGTGTGGCATGAGTACTTATGAGTAACGCAGCTAGATATTCCTCCCATTTGTTCTGAAGTTTGTCAAGTTTTCCCCCACCTGTTTGCTATTTATTTACCCACCTCATCGAGGATCAGAACCGGCTGTGGGCTCTTCTTCTTCACCTCGGATGCAGCCAGAACCGCGGAGCCGCACATTAGGCCCGTCAGCCCCGGAGCTACGGCGCACAACGACACCTGGCGGAAAACAAGGCACAACACACACACTGACATTCACGATAAAGATGATAATAAAGCCCTTGTTTTGACTGAAGCGTCAGTTAAAACACTCTATACAATAATTCTGACATTTTCTGAGTCAAATCATATGACGTCACGTTATATAAAGAGGGAAAGGGAACCGTTTGAATTAACTGACCTCTTAGCTACATCAGCTGACAACATGCTAACATTAACGGATGACTAATTTAGAAACGTTCAAACATATTTGAGTAGTACCAACCTAATTGTGTAAGACTACGGAGCTAAGCTTCACTTAAAAGCAGGAACGCCTGACAAATACATAATGTTTAAGTTGACACAAAGGAGATAAACGTTAAAAGTAGTTACCAGTTTCACATATGACATTCTGGTCGAGGAGAGATTCGCTTTTCTACGGCAAGTCGTAAGGCTGATACGATAAAAGGCGCATGCGCGTTATTCGCTGTATCTATTATAATCATACTGTATATATATGACGCATAAAGATATATTAATTATACTATAGGTATAAACATTCCAAATAATCTTATACATTTAATGAATAGAGTAGATCATTAGTAGATATATAATTAATTCACAAGAAGCTATAAGTAGAGTCAGAAATAAACACACAGATATTAAAGCACCCAGTTGAAAGTTGACCAATATGAACATTTATTTCTGGAAAGAAGTTACAAATCGTTTCCAAAGAGTTTCTACTCAGATTATAAGATATGTTAATCTGATTTTACTTTCTTTTTCAGATACAGTCGTTGCAGCAAGGTATTGTTTTATTTTTTAAATCCTCTATTCTGTTTTTCTACTGACAGACTGGTGGACGCTGCGCTATGACTGAATGTGCCATAAATCAGGACAGTAGTACTTTATCGGTTACACGTTTCTTCGTTTAACAGCAACATGACAGGAGGAGGATGAGAGTGGCATATGTGATGTTCATGATATCAGCCTCAGAGTTAGGCGACAAAAAAAAGATACCCGACTGTGTGACCTCTGTGGTTATTATAAAGGTTTTGGAGCTTAAAATCTGAGGCAAAATAGTGCAAAACCAGGAATAAATTATCTTGAACACAATAAGAAAAAAAGCTTTGGGAATTAAATGTTTTGAGTCTTAAAAATGGATTATGTGAACCGAATGTTGAACAATAGAAAAGTTTCAGGGGGGATAAACAGTTTGAAAGAAAAAGTTTTTACTCTATGTTCCCTATTTCCATTTAACTTCTGCTATAGGTTTTAGTTATCTTAGAATAGAAAATAAGTTTGTAAAATGACAAATTTGAGCAGGATTATAGATTCATCAATCATTTCATTGAAATGTACTGAATCAACTACTGAATCAAATTGAATGATCATTTTAGAAATTTTCCAATCATAAGCACCAAACATTATGCTTGAAACAGATTTTAACATATGAGACATAAACAGTTTTTTAAGGTTAAATAATAGATCTTTGACCGTTATATTTATTTGAAGATCTCACATCGGGCACTGGGAAATTATTTTTCTTTTGACATTTTATTCACTACAGATTGTTTAGCCACCCTGGATTTATTTTCCCTTTTCCAACATTTCCCCCCTCTGGAAACAAAGATGCAGTATGAAGTCCAAAATGAAACGCACAACATCTCACTGCTGAGGAGGCTTTAACGTGGGAAAGGTACACGGTCTAAGATTTCTACCATTGCCACAAAGCGATTAAGAGTTCCTCAAAAAAGGACAAGCTGCAGTGGCATCACATGAACACTGTAAAGCTCAGAAGAGAGGTTTGTGTGTGGACAGCAGGAAAAATTGTTCATAAAAAGAAGCGTGAATTAAAAAAGGATGATAGCTAGAAAACATGCCACCTTTAAACAAGTTCAAACAATATGAAAAACCTGTAAATTAAACATCTTTTGAATGACAATCTGCATACAGTTTCTGGACATGGTAATAAATGTTTCAGTTCCCTCCTTTAAAGTGTACCTGTTCATCTGTTAAGACCCATCTAAATGTTAAAAGACCTCCTCTATAGGATGATTATATTAACATAGAGCGTTCTCAAAGCATCCATTATAAGCCACATGCAGTGCTGCTCAGGAGAACAAATTAAAAGACAAAAAGCACAATTTGAAAACAACACAATGAAATTCTTGTAATAAATAACCCTCCAACTGTTACTGCATAGCTCAGTGAAAGCAATACTTGAGAAAATAAATAACTTAAATTAACGGCTGAACTGCATCAGTATGTGTTCTCTAGCCCTTTTCACAGTTGGCTCATGGAAAATGAAAAATAAATATCTGGGAAAGAAATGGTCAGAATGGACAGGCTTGCTGGGCTGCTTAAGCTTTACAGATCATACCACAACAGAAACTTCTGATATAAGTGAAGCAAAGGTGGCATTTCAATGTCTGAAATTAACACATCTGACTGAAAAACGATGGTTTGAAATCAGCTTTGGTAAAGATCTTCTAAAAACCCTTGCTGGCATTTTTTTTAAAGTTTCAATGCTGCGAGTCTTGGTTACACTGAGCTCTGCTGGCTCAAATATTAGTACACGCAAAATGTATTTGTACCAGAAACACGACAAATACTTAAGAATAATTTGCAGGGCCACATGCAAAAGAAGTTCATAGGAATATATTTATATTTCTGTGATGAGTGCAAGCAATTTAAGATATTTGGAGCATTAGTATATTTTACTTTTCTCTTGTCTTTTTTTAATGTTTAATTTTAGATTAAAAAAAACCCATTAAAAACCAAGTTGCATATTTGCAGTATGAGTCATGAGAACAGGAAAACACGCTAATTTGACTTTATATGCCTTGAACTTCATGAATTTGGAGCTTAATCTGGTAGCGAATGAACGAAAGCAGGAACTTTATGCTAAATCTATTTTATGTTCACCATATCATCATCATGGTTGCCAAATTCCTAAGCGATTCATTTTAGATTTAGTGATTTCAATTGGCACATTTTGGCACAGAAACTTAAGTATTTGTTGGAATGGTCTCCAATAGCTGCCTCAGAATCTTTATTGCAGGTGTTTGACAGTGTAAAATCACGTATAATAGAATATAATTGTATCATATCTAAAATCTCCATGACTGTTACTTAGCACCAAGCCTGACATTAAATCATCCCGATGATATTTTCTAATTTGTTTTAAGGTTCTTTACACTTTACTCAAAGAGCTAAATGTGTTTGCTATTTTCTGACAGCAGGACTCGAAAATCCATTTTAAGTCTTGTTTTGATTCTTTGGTAAGTTTCTTCTTAAAAACGAAGAGAAAAAGGCAGCATTAAATGGACATTTTAGGGCCATTTATCATCCTTATGACTCGTTCAAACAGAACTAATTATGAGAAGTTAAGGAATAGTAGACGACATTCTTCCTGCATGAGGCCCAATGTCTCCTAAATATATTCACTATCTGCGTGTTTCATGGTTGGTACATTTGTAGTTCAGTCAGAATGTTAATTTCAGACAAATGTCTTACAGCATGTTGTAATACTACAGTTTGAGTTTAAAGTACAGCTGGTGCATTTACACTCAACAGCCACAACAAAGCCAAAAATAAAGTGCAGGGAATGAAAACGTGAGTTGGTAAAGAGCTGCTCTATCTCTACTATGCATGTTATCTAAAAAAACAAACCGATGATCTCGTGTACCATGTAGTGTTATGGTTTTCCTCTTTATCTTGCATTCAGCTCTCTCATACACTCTCACACACACACAGACACACACACACACACCTAGAGGAAGGAGAGGGAGCACAGAGATTCGTGTTGTTTTATGAACATGGTGGATATCTGGGAGTAAAAAGCAGAATATAAGGACTAAAAGCTGGAACGCACTGGAAGAAAATGTATCACTTCAAGATTAAATTGTTAGCAGCATCTGTGACAACATGTGTTTACACTCTGCTTTGTATATTCGGAGACAGTTTATAGAATGAACTACACTACAGTAAATAGTGTTAGTATTTTGTTTGTATACTAGCTGTTATATATCTTATAGGTTGTTTTTGGATTCTTGGCTTTGACTCATCTTTTTCTTGAATGGGACCTATTATGCAAAATCCACTTTTTCCTGTCTTTTATACATAAACATGTGTCCCCTCTGTGTAAAGAGATTCAGAAAGTTTCAGGAAAAAATATTTGCTCACTTTTTGTCCTGATCCATTTATATAAAAACCTGTCTGAAAATGAGCTGATCAGATTTTGGCCACTTTGTGATGTCATACAGTTTTTTTGGCTTGTGTAACCATTAGCCAATCACCAACCAAGGTAACCACCCCCCCCCCACCACCTTATCACCTGCATCTCCTCCTAGAGCACCATTTGTCGCGTTCACACCAAAAAGAGCCGGAACTAAAATGAGTTCATCAGAACCTTTTTTACCCCCTTTTGCTTGAGAGCAGTTACTTTCGTGGGAGAAAAAGGTTCCTATGTCTGATTGGCTGGGCGGATTGCAAACCACGCCCCGTAAAACTCCAAAAAGGTTTTGTGAAGCCGCCATTTTATTATCCTTGCATTAGCATTATTAGCATTAGCATTGGCCCAGCGCAGAAACGCAGAGAGACTAACTTATGGCAACACAAAAGAAAACATGGGAGCGGTGGAGATGAGGAGGTGTCGGCGTTCTGGCGATTTACTCGGAAGGCTTCAGTAGAAGCTGCTGGGAGTCCCAGCAGCTTCTACTGAAGCCAGTCCCCAACTCCAGGGACTTCCGGCCGGGGACTTCGGGTGGCAGTATACGCCGTGAAGTTGTTTGCGGCCTGCCAGTAAACCCAAATCAGAAGAAGAAGAAGTGACGTCAGCGGCTTCATTTGCCTAATCCTTCCCCAGGAACTTATTCCGGTGTGAACGCGATCTGTACTTAGTTCATGAGAACTATCTCTCAGAGGGGCGTGGGGAGTGGCTCCTTATTTTCATCTAAAGTAACAGACAGAGAATCAGGACTTTTGAAACAGGGCTGAAACAGAGGGGATTATGGGATGCTGCAATGATCTGTTTGGTATTTGGAGCCAAACACTTCAGAAACATGTTTTGTATATATCTGAGACCTATAATATATTGATGAGAAACAGTATAATAGGGGACCTTTAATACGAGCAACTTCATTAATTTAAATATATCAACAGGTGCAGGATAATAAACCTACTCAAACTGGATTCGAGGAGGAAATAAATAAATACAATGTCCCTTTGTAAAAGCATAAATGTGACGCTTCCAGTGCGTTTCTGCATTAAACCTGACTGCACAGCCTAAATACAGTATGTGAGTAGTAGAATAGGCAACTGACCACAGTCCGAAACATAAACCAGCAGAATTAAAACTTTTTTTTCACTCCCCACACATTATTTTCCTTACATTTTCTGAGAAAGCGAATCATGAAAATGTCCAAGTGGCGTCTCACCACGCCACGCTTCCATTGGCTTCATTAAGAAGAAGAGCAGATTTATCTTTTCCTCCCCTTAAGGAAAGTTTAAAAGCCCATACTTGACCTCAGTCTTCATTCCCGTTTCTATAAAAAGGAGGCGTGTTGGAGCAGACCTCAGCTGCAGCGTCTCACGTGCTCCAACACGTACTCTGGGAAGTGCAGGCTGCACACCTGCAGACCGTCCAGTTTGCAAGGCATCCTGGGATACTCGTCCTCCTTCCACTTGTTCTCGTCGGGGTCGAATGTGAGGATGGAGTCACTGTAGTGGCCGTTGTAACAGAGGCCTCCGAGCACCATGATCTGCCGGTCCAGCACCGCCACCCCGTGCCCACTGCGCCCGATGGGCATGGAGCCGAGGATGGTCCACTCGTCGGTGTCGGGGTCGTACACCTCGGTGGACGGGCAGCCCTGAGACTCGAAGGATGCGCGCAGGATCACGCACACGCCTCCGAACACGTACAGCTTCCCGTTGTGGGAGATCATCTTGTGGAAGCAGCGGGCGTAGTTCATTTTGGATTTGTTCTCCCAGCAGCTGGCATGGCTGCCGGGCAGCGCTGGGCCGCGGCTGGTGCGTGTCCTGTGAGCATCCGATCCCCCCGAGCTGCCTCCCCCTGCCCCTGCCCCTGCCCCTGCTCCTGCTCCTGCTCCTGCTCCTCCCCCTCCTCCTCCTCCTCCTCCTCCTCCAGCTGCCTCCCGCCCTGGGTCGAACACACACACTTGTTTGGAGGTGGAGGAGGATGTGATGCCGCCGGTGATGTAGAGTTTCCCGCTGAGCACCGTCCCCTCGTGGCCGTACTTGTTGACGGGGTACGGGTCCACGAACTCCCAGCGGTCCTCTGTGATGTCGTAGCGCTCGGTGGAGTAAAACGTCTCGTCTCGCGTGCGGCCCGCTACTGCATAAATGAACTTACCGATGACGCCCACGGCAAACTCCGACCTGCAAACACAAAGAATATCTGTAAACAACTGCTTTCAGAGGTCATTCAACAACTCAGCATCCAACATTATTAATTTGACTGGAAGTGAAATGTGAGCTTCTGCACAATGACCTTCAAATTAACATGATAAACAAGGGCCATTTATATGACACTTTGTATACAATATGACAAACCCTCCTAGCTCCAGCTCCTCTCACCTGGGCACGGACATGTCGGCCATGCGCAGCCAGGAGTTCTGTCGGGGGTCGTAGCGGTAGACTTTGGAGGAGGCATGGAACTCTCCGTCGGGCCCCAGCTCCTCCCCGCCCAGCAGGAAGGCAAAGTTGTTTACGATGGCCAGGCAGTCGGGTCGCAGCGGCACCTGAGGGCCCTCCAGCTCCCACCACACCTGAGGGGGAAAACACAGCTCACTGAACCTCAGACACTGGTTTTTATGAGATATATACGGATTAAAGTTGTGTTCCATCAGGGTCAGGTAAGACATTTGAAAGCAGCTTGAGATACATTCTGATAAAAACTCATCTTGGGCTTTCCAAAAAAGTATTGACGCAAAGATTGGTCAGCTGAACGATAAATCAAACTTTAAACTTAGGAAGTTTCAAAACAAAAACAAAACAAACGTAGGAAGTTTCAATAATGAGGCCCATGTCTACCCAACGTGACCTATTATTATGTTAATATAAATAATGTCTACTAAATTAAAAACAAAGTGGTCAGACATGCTCTTGTAGGCAGAGATATGACACCTTTGGTCTCTGCAGCAGCAGGATCTTGCTGTTGACCATGCTGTGTCCGATCATCCCTCTGAACACGGCGGTCTGCGGCCGCACCGAGCGGATGCGGTTGGAGCGAGTCTCCACCAAAGGCTGCTGGTTGACATCGTGGAAGTAGCTGAGCGCCAGGTCCACTTCCTGCCGCAGCTGCCGGGAGTAACGGTAAAACTCTGACGTCTTTACCTGAGGCGAGGAGGAGGACAAAAGCTTGTTAGCATGATCTGAGCTACTTGTTCCTCTTCTGCATCAACTGTTTTTCTGTATGAATCACTATAAACTTAGCAGGACATTTCCCAGAAAGCAGCGCTGACCTTCTCGAAGATGTTTGCTGGCGTCATGAGGCAGAAGCGGATGGACTGCACGATGGTGTCTGTGTGTCTCCAGCGCCGCCGGTCATGCCGCAGCCACGACTGCACGGCTTCATACAGCTCGATCTCCGGGAAGCGACTTAGGGCGTCGCTGTTCAAGTACGACTGGTGCAGAGAAAAAGAAACACTGGATTTAGAAAAGGTTTGGCATTACACAAGTTTTTTTGTTTTTTTTACTGAATAACATATGGCTTTACTGGATAGCTTAAAGCTCTGTTTATAACTTTGACATTAACATTTTAAAATCAACATTTGCATGCTTTGGTTTTCTGCTTGCGTATGGATTGCTTTTTAGGCTGGTATTTCTACACATTAACAAATAAAGATGATGCCATACTAATATTATTATAGAGTTATTTTCCAGTAGTGACCTTGTAGGATTGCAAACACTTTCAGTATTTTCCAAAATACACAATATTTTTAGTGGTAGGTATATTAAATTGGTGTTAAGAATTCCCCAAACAAATTGTCAAAAATTGTGGAAGGGAAAACCTCACCGAACAGATTTATTCATTAAAAGATCTTGTGTAATGTCTTGAGGATTGTTTGTTTTTTGGGGCTTGGATGGCGGTAATATGTCTACAGACATTTATAGCTTCACGTATAACGTCAGTACGAGCTCAAACATTTAAAAAATAACTTATAAAACTCGCAATGAAAACACATTTTTTGTGGCCCCATGTTAAATGTCCCACTGAGTGTGTGTCTTGGTCATTAATAAATCCTGACAGTAATGACAGTAGGTATTAATAGCTCTAATTTGGCTGCAAAAACAACATTCTTACCTGCAGTCTCTCGAGGCTGAGGTAGGACAGGAAGTCTGGTCGGCTCATGAGGGGGACGAAGTTTTCAAGCAGGAAGTTGTCAAGCTGCTCCTGGACGCCCTCCACACCCACGCTGAAGTCCTCCAGGAGGCGCATGACCTCGGCACAGTTTTCCAGACAGATCTTAGCCAGCAGGAAGGAGCAGCAGAACTCCACCGCCTCCGTCAGCTGCACGTACATGGCCGCCTGGCGGGACAGGAAGTGGAGAAGTGAAGATGTATAAAATGCTGCTCCTGTGACAGACTATTCTTTACCAACATTTAAGCAGTGGTCCAGGAAATACGTTTTTTTTGATAATCTGCAAAGACATTTGTTCCCCCCACATATAAATCACTTCTGAAAATAGAAAGTCAAACATTAGTCTCCCTTTCCTATCCAAAGAATATATTTGGGGCAGTAGAGCCAATAAAATACCTATACATTTCTTTCAAAAGATTTGCTCAAGATAGGAATAATAAATGGTGCAGGAATTATTGATTTCTGTAGTGGACCCTGAAGGTAGCATCTCCATGGTTCGATCAATGACATTTCAAAAGAAACAGTGACTTCCAGCAAGTGGACAGGAAGTGCTAAAATGTTAGTGTTTTACGACTCATTCCAGTATTATGTTGCAGAGAGGATGTCAGATTGTGTTTGGCCTTACCTGCAGGATCTCTTGCACAGTGGGCATGCTGAGCTCCAGAGAGCCATAGTACATGAAGCGGAGAATGTGTCCGAAGCCAGCGGCCGTCAGCCCCTTCATGTGGATCTTGTCCTGGTCCCTCTCCCTCATGTCCGCCGTGAACATGACCCGGAAATAGTCGCTCTGCGTGGCCAGAAGCGCCTTGTGGGCCTGCAGGAGGACAGACATGAGTATATATAAAAAGGAACAAGACTTTACTTGGTTTTATTCCATTCGATTTTGGAATAAATTAGTTAGATTAAAGTGTACTGGCTTGTATGGACTTTTTTGGAAGAGACCTGTCTCTCGGGGAATAAAAGCTGTTTTTTGTTCCTTTAAAGTCGCTTTACATCAGTATTTTACAGATCAAAAGTTGCTAAGAAGTCTTTTTCTAATCCTGCAAGTTTATATCTTCAATAATTATCAATTTTATAAGAGATCTGTGACTGGATTGTCTAAATTCTCCAGAGATATTCCTGCAGTCATAAGTAAAGGGATATGTATACAGTCTTGAATGAGGGCTTCATGCATACATATGGACTGTGTGTACCTGGAAGTGGTGCTCCTCTATCAGCAGTGTGACGTCCAGCAGCAGGCGCTCCTCGTACAGCGCCCTGAAGCCCGACGACACACTCCCATCATGCACCTGGGACAGGTACACCTCCACATCTGCCCCCGACATAACACACCTGCAGGCATGACGCAGGAACAGGCGGGGGATGGAGACCGGGTGAGTTGATAACAACAGATATATAAAGACTAGAATTAAATAGGATTAGAAAACAAAACCAGCAGATGAGCTCTCCAAGGTAACGTTTGTGTGCTGCTGAATAAAGTAAGCCGGGGAATCGAAGGGCATTTAAAAGGACGTTCAGCTTTAAAAGCTCAGCACTTCAGCTGCTGCATCCTAACAAGCTGTTACTCATTCACAAAGAAAGAGTAACTGCACTGGGGAAATAAACCTGCTCCACTGCAACATAGCGAGGAGGTAAAAGAGAAAATAAAAGATACTGCAACATCATCCAGTTTCTTCCGCATCAAAAACACACACAGGCGTTTTAGCATCTCAAAATAATTAAATTAAAATAATCAGAAAGCTGTCTCAAAATAAAGATTTGTTGTCATTATTTTTGGACAGTTTATCATTATGATGGGATACTAAGTCATTAAGTGTAAGAAAACTTCCCAATAAATTGAAGCCTAAGTTTTATCTTAATTTTAATTTTACTGGTCACAAAGTGATGGTTAGTAATAGTAACAAAATACACACAAACCTTTTATTTATCAACAAAAGAAAGTAGAAAACACACATTCTCTGCACACAATTGAAAACAAACACAAACACACACAGCACACTCACCTCTGATTGGCCACGGGCATGTCAGAGGGGGCTGTCCGAGCCAATCAGAGGACAGTGCCCCTTGTGTCCAGGAGATGCTAACAAAGTCCCTTTTCTGAGCGCCAATCACCTGGACGACAAAGCCAACACACCCGCCACATTACAGCGTGAACGTCTGCAAACTGCAATAAAAAAAAAAACAGCCGTACAAGGACTTCAATAACTCTGGACAAAAGTATGTGGCGATACACACACACACACACACACACACATACACACAAACACACACACACACACACACATACACACAAACACACACACTGGCCACATCGTTTTGGCCTTAAAACTGTTTGCATATTGTTTTTGTTAGTCAACAAGTTTAAAACTGATGGACAGTTCTGAAACAAACCTCCAGCAATAAGTGCCAATTATCTAAACTGTCAGCACAAAATACAAGAAGTGAGAGATCAAGAGGAGGAAATAAAGGGCTGATCAGATTTTTGGGTTAACATGAAGTGTTGCAGACCGTTAATTCATACCTTTTGGAGCCCGGGGGAACAATCACAGGCTTTGTGGGCTGAGCGTTAAGGGGTCGCTCACATTTCCTGTGTTTATGTTTCCCTGGTTCTAACAGAGAAACAGAAGAAGAACCATAAGATGCTGGAGGAGGACGGAAAACTAAACAGAGACATCAAATGTGCCACGACACAAACAGACCACATGTATAACAAAACATAAACAAAAAATGATGATTTAGTATGTCAAAATTAGGAATCAGTATTTCAAAGCAAGGACTTAGTAAGTCAAGATATTGAAAAATTCATCAACATAATAACTACGTTACTCAAGGTAATGAGAAACTCTCAAAATAATGACTTAGTACCTGAAACAACGACTTAAAATAATGGGAAGATTTCTTAAAATAATGGCTTAGCAACTTAATATAATAATTTAAGTCTCAAGATAATGACTTAGTAACTCAAAAATATTAAGAAACTTTGTCAAAATAATTATTTAATCTTCAGGATAGTGAGAAACTTTCCAAAACAATGACTTTGTATTTAAACTAAAAAGTGTCCTACTCTGTTGTGGTACTAAGTCCTCCTTTTGAGTTTCATTATAATGACTTACAGGTTTTTTTCTTTTTTCATTACAAGGCTATATAATGTTTTCCTTTCACTGTCAGAAATGTTTTTCCATATCTGGTGCTCTCATAAAGCCATGTTACTTTTCTCTGAAATATTAACAATACCTAAATGTTCCCAGCACACAGTAGATGAATTGTATCAAAATAAGTGAGAAGCACATCATTCCCATTGCCTTGTAATAAAGGAAATACTTTGCTTTGTTCAAATAATAAATAATCGTATACACCTTTTGTTTTTACTTGAGCTATGTGACCTTACATGCTGGTATTAGATCCCAAAAACAAAGGCTCAGGCTATACATAATAATGGTACACACAAAAAAGATGAAACATGTCTTGTAATTTGAATAATGTGTAAAATGTTAAAATATTTCACTTCAGAGCTAGCTACCTGCTAGCCAAATTAACTGTCACGATTCTCAGCGGCTGGAGCTACGGGGGACCCAACACTGCTCTGCCGGGGTAACAGCTTAGCTTAGCGGCTAAAACCAGCCGTCTCACCTCGGCGGTGCGAATCCCCACAGCCCCTCTTCGACCAGGCAGCTCCGGCTCCGTCGGACATGAAGTTGCGGGGTCAATTCCGGGTTCAGGAGAGCGGTTGGCAGCGGTTCACTGCCATGTTATCCTCCATCTGCCAGACGAAGAGATCCCCCACTCAGCTCAGAAATTAAACGGGTAGTAAGAAACCACAGCGGTCCACAGGCTTTGCGGACGCCATCTTCTGCACCCGCGTCACTTCCCTTTTGGGCGGAACTGAAGGGCGTAGTGCGGCAGAGAGATCGTATGTAGTAGAAAGATGTGTCACTCTGAAATGATATCAACATCTGCAGCACAAAGTTTCGTTGGTGGTGCTAAAGTCCAGCTTTATTTATTTACTTATTTATCATCCGTTTACTTACTTACGTACTTACTTGCATTTAAAAAAATGAACATTTCAGACAAATTGTACAATAGAAAACCCCATTTAACATATAAAGCTTTTTTGTTTTTTCAATGATGCATAACTTTCTAATAGTTTTTTTATCATTGTTTGCCTGCCATTGTATAATGTAACTTTAACTTTGTTAATTAATAGATGTTATCAATATGGGCAACACATGCCCTTAAAGTTTGAATTAGCCTTATGCTTTTATATACAGTTATTCTCAATAAAAACAATTAAGAACATACTTCTATATAATACTAAAATGTGATTTTGAGAGAATATTATATTACATTGTTGCATTACACCCACATGAAAACACTCTCAGACATGTTTTTTGCTTGTAAACTTCTTTAGAATTTATTTGAAGCATTGTCTGTAATCAATACATAACTGTAACTTCAATGTGTGAAATCTCGCAAGAATTACAAATGCTTCCTGATTTCTGAACCACTGGACATATTGAAATGCCATTATTTCTTCTCTAGAATTCCACATTCAACTGTTGATGATTTATTAATCTTTCTCATACAGGACTTCATCTATGAGCACATCGTTGTCGTCGACAGGGATTTCTGGAAGCAGCTGCTCTTTGAAGGCGAGGGCGATGGTGTAGGGCTTTCCTTTGGGGTGCTTCATACAGCGCTCCAGGTAGGTGTCGTAGAAACCCTTCCCTCGGCCCAGACGGTTCCCCAGACTGTCAAAACCCAGGCCTGGCATCAGGATCAGATCCAAACCTGGTGTAGGAAATAGTAAGTAGTTGTAAAAGCTGTTGATGTGTAATTGCCTAAAACATATGCATTGTATACTTACAAAGGCTTATTTAGGGTAACACACTTACACTTGAGTTAAGGTAATTTTAAAACTGCATAGTGAACTTGATTATTTACCTTTAATTTACTCTTGAGTGAGTAAAGACTTTACAGAGTTATTATTTCTTGAATATTTAAAGATTGTGAAATGGTCTGTTTTTTATATGTGGGCATTCTATTCTGCTTTATTGTTGCACTGAAAATAAATGTGTTTTTATGTTTTTTACATATTTGGCTTTTGAATGAAAAAGGTCTGTCAACAAGGTACCACTTGTAAAGTAGGTAGGATTTTTTCTCAGCAGTGAGAAATAATGACTTATGTATCATATTATTTAAATATATACATTGGTGGTGCATACATATTATCAACTTTGAGGGACTTGCAGCCTACTTTAGAGTATTTCCATTTTATGCTACTTACAATTTGAAAGCAAATACTGTAATTTTTGTCAGTTCAATGAATAAATACAAGATATAAGTAAACTAAAGAATTATGATGTCCTTTTAGGGAATAATATACCATGCATGCAGTATAAAAAGCCATTAAAGTTAGCTCAAAATGTACCAGGTGTTAAATTAAAATTAAGAACACAAGAATGCATCACTTATTATAATCCATTGATATATATATGTATTATTCTGAAAATGGCCACTCTTTATAAAGGAGTGAGAGTAAAAGTATATTTTGATGCAACAACTTTATAACCTAAGTAACATTTTGAATGCATGATTTGTACTTGTAACACTGCAAAATAAGGATATAATTCCCACCTCCTGCAGACAGTGCCTCCTCTCTGCTGCTGTCCTCTGCTGCAGGCTGCTGGATGTTCCACGCAGTGAGCGGCAGGGTCTCCATGTCCTGCAGACTGCGGAGCTGCAACATGTCCATGTGGTTGCTGCTGCTCTCATATCTGGGAATAAAGCAGCTTTTCCCACATTTAAACACGTCTCTGATGATCTCCTCTGTGCGCACCTCATCGTGCATGCTCAGAAACACTGCGATCCTCTTGCAGGACACATACTTGGGGTGTCTGAATAGCTGTTTGGAGAGGACCGAAGACTGTCGTAGCTTCTCCTCGTCACTTAACGCTGCTACACGTCGCTTTATTTCTTTCCTTAAAGCTTGCTTTGCTGCACGCAGGGCGGCCATTCTTCCCGTTATAACTTTAAATAGTCTGAATAAAAGTTGATTTAACAAATAAGTATTCTAAGTTTGTTCTGCACGCGTTTGCTACTGTGAACAAGGCGATTTCAACATGGACAGCCTATCTTTTCGCTTTTTAGAAGTTAAACATTAACAAGTAGGACTGCAAACACATGGCAGGGGTTAAAAACGGTCAAAAAACTAATGACAGCAAGGATCGTGTTAACCCCTAATATTACAGTAAACAGTCCAGCAAAGACTCCACGCGCCGCGTGACTGTGTCAGCTGCATGCCGGAAGTCAAACTTTTTTTTTTAACAAGTTAGAAGTACAGATTTCTTTCAGAAAAAAATTACAGAGAAACCATAAACAACATGCATAGGCCTACTACCATAATATTTTAATAATATAATTTCTAACAGCAGCAAACCTGTGGAGGGGTAAATCTCCCTTGTTTATTCTTTATTTTTGTTCGAGTAAATATTGTATTATATTACAATTTATTTCCCGTTTGAGATTTTGGTTTATAAATTCAACAAAACAAAATATGTTTTTTTACAAACTACACTACAGGACTACATACATGACATTTGATGACGTCAATTTACAACGACGGCCCTGACACATGGTAAAACATATTTTAGTTTTTTTTTTTTATTGTACAAAACTGTTAAAACGTATCCCCTATTAGGTGTTTAATTGTTGTTAACGGTTTATTGACAACAACAGCGTCATTTAATTAAATGCATTTTACAATAAAAAATGAATTGCATCAGTCGTTCTGAAAGGACCCCGTTGGATGAGTCACACGAGTTTAAGCCACTATCTTTGTATTTTGTCAATGAAAATAAATATATAACCTAGGACGTGTATTAAGTATATATGTTTTCTACCAACTGTACAAAAATATGAGATAATTTGATGAAAAAATACAATTTTTGGCACAGAGAAAGAGTCCTTTTTAGCAGTTGATCAGGCATTCGCCGCAGCCGCCTCCTTCATTGCCTTTTCATTCAAGATGGCGGGTGACGAGTTTGGTAGTACAACGCTGGGCCAGCCTCATCTGGCTAGACAAGACCTTAGTACTCTGGTAAGTGTCAGTTTAACGGATTTAAGAGCTATGTTCATTGTATTGGTGATTGTTGGTCCGGTGTGTTTCCAAAATGAACCCTTAAAGTGCTGATTCTTACCGCTAACAGTCGCCGGTGCTACTACGCCGGCACATGACGACAGGCCCGGCGGGGCGGATAGTCAACGTACCCGCAACACTATTTCCCCTGGATAGACGTTAAACTAAACTCAAATAAAGATTTAATGATTACACAAACGGTTACACGTTATATTTACAGCGCCGTTGTAATTGCCAGCTTTGTAGTACGCCAGTTTTATCTGCTTAGCCCTGTTGGATTAAATCGTTAGCATCATATGCTAAATGTAAGTAAAATCTACATTGTCAATGGGAGTCGTAACTGTGATGGAAGGAGCCATGTTGTTCAATATATTCCTTTTCATTCCAGGCGTATTACAGCAGATGTAATCGTCATATCTGAAATATGTGGATACTAGTATAAGGATAACACTAGACCACATACTCAAATACGTTTTAATCAGTAGACAAAGAACATGATACAGACAGCATGCTTTGTTATAAAACCAGTTTTAATATGTTCAGTTATCTTTCATGTCATTTTTTATAAAAATCAAATATAATAGCCATAGGAACTGAGCATCTACTTCATATGTTTGCAGTCAGTGTGGGGCAGCTCTCTATTGTTTCTTTTCACCTCCAGGAATAAAGCGAAAGGGTCAGCGCTGCACTGCTCACAAACAAAACATTTCAAATGATCTGTTTTTCAGTTTAGGTTGACTAATGCAAGTTTTTTTCTTCTGTTTCAGAATGTGTCTACTTTGACACCTCTCTCGAGAGAGATTATTAGCAGACAGGCCACCATCAATATTGGTAAGTGAATCCTGCCAACTATTGGTTGACATTGTGTGTCTTTCAGCTTGTTGAAAATTATAAGTCAAGACTTCCTGTTTTGACATATCTTCTTCTTCTCCCAGGCACCATTGGTCATGTGGCCCACGGAAAGTCCACAGTAGTGAAGGCCATCTCTGGTGTCCACACTGTTAGATTCAAGAACGAGCTTGAGAGGAACATCACCATCAAGCTAGGATATGCTAACGCTAAGGTACGTGGGGGATTTATTTATCTGTCTACCTGATATCTTCCTCCTTTTGAGAAAACTGTGTTTTACTTGTTTGGATTATAATTGCAAGATTTGTCTTATTACTTGGGGTCAAGTACTTCCACACCAACAACATGATGTGTGTGTGTGCGCGCGCCTATATTGTTAGTCGCTCCCGTAAAAACGTCATGCTGCACACGCATGTCGTTGGAACTGTTAAAAAATCAGATCTATGGAAAAAGCTATGACAATTTCCGATTATGGCTGATCAACAGGTGTGTGTTCTATGTCTCAGTTTGCAAGTAAAGTCAATTAATCACTTAAAGAAGCAGAGAGTGCTTTTAAAGCCACACTTTTCCCTGTAAAGAAATGCCTTCAATTTGACACTACGATAGGATGCAAATCATTAAAATCGACTGGACATTTCCTTGATTGCAGGTCTATAAGCTGGATGACCCCAGCTGTCCCAGGCCCGAGTGCTACAGGTCGTGTGGCAGCAGCACACCTGATGAGTTCCCCTCAGACATCCCCGGCACCAAGGGCCACTTCAAACTGGTCAGGTGAGTCTGAAGTGAGAGTGAGACGGGGTGGTCATTTTCCACCTGCAGGGATTAAGCCTTTTCATCTGATCCTTTAAATCCTTTAAATCCTTTGAGATCAGTTTGACCCTGAAATAGTTTTTCATGAATGGGACTTTTGCTTTTCCTTCTCCCAGGCACGTGTCATTTGTGGACTGTCCCGGTCACGACATCTTGATGGCAACCATGTTGAACGGAGCCGCCGTCATGGACGCAGCTCTCCTGCTCATTGGTAAGCCTCTGAAGCCTAACTCCCACCAGCAAGACAGACTTCAGCCCCAGTTTGTTTTTAGAAATAATCTGACGTTGTTTCTTTTCTCCAGCGGGTAACGAGTCGTGTCCTCAGCCCCAGACGTCAGAGCATCTGGCCGCTATCGAGATCATGAAGCTGAAGCACATCCTCATCCTGCAGAACAAGATCGACCTGGTGAAGGAGAGCCAGGCCAAAGAGCAGTACGAGCAGATCCTCTCCTTCGTACAGGGTGAGTCGGCGTGAATCTGCACTAAAGAACAGGATATGGCTAATCTATTTTAAACAGGAAGCAAAACATTCTGCCCTACAAGAAAACATCCCCTAAAGCTTTCCCTTCTTATAAAGAGACAATTTATGTGACATTTAGCAACTCTGCACCATATCATCAGAAAACACCTTACGCCTGTTTATCTGTATGCAGATTATTCATCATGTTTCAAAATGGATCACAATATTGGTGTCACAATCATCTTTTATCATCTTCTAAGCTGTTATTCTGCAGGATTTGATGTGTGTGATGTTTGTCCTGCAGGCACGGTGGCAGAGGGCGCTCCCATCATTCCTATCTCAGCTCAGCTGAAGTACAACATCGAGGTGGTTTGCGAGTACATCGTCAAAAAGATCCCAGTGCCCATCAGAGACTTCACCTCTGAACCCAGACTCATCGGTAAGAATCAGGTCTTTTTTTTGGTCATGTTTTTATCCTTGCATATTACACTTTCCTTTCAATTTTCTGCTGTGAAATCTTATGCATGCCTCTTTTTTTTTTTTTCAGTTATCAGATCTTTTGATGTGAACAAGCCCGGCTGTGAGGTGGATGACTTGAAAGGAGGTGTTGCTGGAGGAAGTATCCTTAAGGGTGTGCTCAAGGTGAGATATGTTCTTTATACTTGAACATGTGAACACAGTATTTTATGCAGTCGCCTACAACAGTTGAGTTTTTCTCTAACCCCTCCTCCTCTGTATGTGGCCTGCAGGTGGGTCAGGAGATCGAGGTGCGGCCCGGCATCGTGTCCAAAGACCACGAGGGAAAGCTGATGTGCAAACCCATCTTCTCCAAGATCGTGTCTCTGTTTGCAGAGCACAACGACCTGCAGTACGCTGCACCTGGAGGCCTTATCGGTACGCCCACACGCACCTAAATTAGCCGAGATGTATTCTTTGAAATGATAAGAGAGAATACCTATAAATTAAAAGATATAGTTGCATAATTCAGCAAAGTAATCTGTGTCTGTGTGCAGGTGTGGGCACTAAGATCGACCCCACCCTGTGCCGAGCGGATCGTATGGTGGGTCAGGTGCTGGGTGCAGTGGGAGCGCTGCCAGAAATCTTCACCGAGCTCGAGATCTCCTACTTCCTGCTCAGGAGGCTGCTGGGAGTCCGCACGGAGGGAGACAAGAAGGCAGCCAAGGTGAGACATGCAGCAAGGGAAATGTAGTCCAAAGATCTCCTGAACTAAAAGAGAGGAGAATGTTTGACCGTTAATTGTAATCAGAAATCCTTAATTAGTCCCACAGTGCATATGACAATAATATTTTTGAAAAGATTCTGATAAAAACCTGCTGGAATTAAGAGGTCTGTCGTGGATATTTGTGCAGTTCTGTCCCAAAGACTGAGATCACCCAGAATCTGATGATTGTTCTGAACTGTTTCTTTGTTTTGTGCCTCTGCAGGTCCAGAAGCTGTCTAAGAACGAGGTTCTGATGGTGAACATTGGCTCGTTGTCCACAGGAGGACGTGTTAGCGCTGTGAAGGCTGATCTGGCCAAGATCGTCCTCACCAACCCGGTCTGCACAGAGGTCGGAGAGAAGATCGCTCTGAGCCGACGTGTGGAGAAACATTGGCGGTGAGGAACTAAGTCTGCACTTTACAAAGCTGGACAAACCAGGGTTATGACAGAGCAATAATAATATAGTTGTCAGGGAAATATTATTTAATGATTACTGCTGCTTTTGGTACCTTTTTTATTTTGATTCTCAGCCCCCTTACTCTCTCTGGGGTCTTGGTTTCATGTTTGCCTAAAGATGTATCCAAACTAAAAGGTTTTGTCCATGCCTATACCTATGCAGACACCTTTTAGAATTGTAACAGTTTTTAGTTTTTCAAGGTTAGCAATTTCTTCAATTCAAATATACTTCCTGAAAAATGCTGGATTTTCAACATTATATGAACAGCTAGTAAAATAATCAACGCTTTGGTATATTTACAGCATTGATTGTTGTGGGTATCTGTAAATTCTATTTATTGCAATTGCATTTATGTAGTGTTAAAAGCTTCAAAAGTAATGAAGCTTGATATACGAAACTAAAAGAAAGAAGAATAAAAACGTCTTTATACTGTTGTCTAATTGGCTCCTCTCTTTCCTTCCTCAGTCTGATTGGATGGGGGCAGATCAGGAGGGGCGTGACCATCACACCCACAGTGGACGATGACTGAAGATAGATTTCAACACAAAGGAGCTTCACCACAACCATCACACTCTTCTTGGCTTTTTGTTGCTTTTTTATTTTATTTTTTCCACGAGGAGAAAGGAAGGATAACGGGACATGTTAGAGTTTTAAAGACTCCTCCCTCTGCTCCTTTTCTTCAGCAGCAACATGAGGAGGTCCAGTTTACTTTCTTCCTGTTTTTTTTATTCTGCAGAAGAAAAAGAGCAGAGAAGGAGAGGATGCTCTTTAAACTCATACCAAACCTCCATAGAAAGTTTGACCTGGAGGTTCATTCAGTGCAGAAAGAATCCTGTACTGTCCACAGATTTCAGTCAGATAATAAAATACATTTGGAAAAAAATGTGCTTGTCTTTTTGTCTGGTTTAATTTATCTTACTTGTGTCATGTTGTTGCAGCCAAAAATACAAATTAACTAAAGGAAAGTATAACCCTTTAAAATGACTTGAATACTCCATACATTTATTTATATCTCTGGATTAAAACTGAATCTTAATAAGCACTTTTGATCTATACTTTTATATGAATGTTAAATGCAACCACTTGGATGTAAAACTCAGGAAAAAATGTATAACTTTTTTAAAATTGATATACAGTCAAAGAGACTCTTAAACTGCTTCCCATTTTTGTGAACTTCTGAAGAAAATAGCTCGTTTAACTTGTATCCAGCTAGGGGTAAAATCACAAGTTACTAATTTAATATACTTAATATTAAAATTGGCCAACCATTTACCTACTGCAACCGTAAAAGTGAAGACAATATATGTTAATATGTTTTGGTATTCCTTTTACTGAAGGTTCTGACTACTTCTCCACCTCTGGTTATTAAACAGTTGTTTTGAAGAAGGCGAGCACATATCCTCGTGTTCAGGTCAGGAGGAAGCCAACATTTACTGAGGGTGCACATCCGGGATGATCCACCTGACAAGCACGGGACGTGACGTCATTCAGGTGCAAAGTAAAATAAAGCGCAAGAGCCTGTATTAAAGATTTGTAGGCTGCCGGTGTGATTAAGTTAATGCTAACTTTGCTACCTGAACCTTTTGGGGTTATCTCGTGTTGTTCGAATATCTGTAAACAAACTGACCCGTGAACGCATCACCGAGACGACCGACTGACACTCGAGTTTTTATTTGTTTTTTAATTTTTATTTTCTATCACCTTTTTTTGTTTGGGAGTTGATCACATGGAGTCTGCAGGTAAGATACGTTTTACTGTTAAAGGATAACAATTTAGTTATAGTACAGAGTGTTATTGCAAAACATGTACTGAAACCTAAAACATTTCCATTCGATGCAACTTTACACTTGTACTGCACTTTTTACTGACTATGCTAACTTCTTAAATTAGCCCACTTTATATTTATTTAAGGATTAAGGCATTTTTTTTTTACATGGTTTCATTTATGCTAGATCTATAAATTAGGGTACTTGAACATTTTAACTTTAATTGTATTTAGTTTATAACACTAATGAATTCAGTCATCTCTTTTCCATGCAAATGTATACTTATACTCTGCTAGGGCTATATTGTACTTTTGCACATCATACATTTTTACCAGGTTTACAGCTTTACATTTTCCACATTAGTTATTAAAACGTAATTATTTAAAAGCAGGTAAAGATAAAGATCATTTTAATAACTTTATATACTGAGTAGTTTGGGAATTGTTCCAAGAATTAACAAAGTTTCAGCATATTCTATAATCATACATAATTAATAATAATCATCTTTAAAAAATAATTAAATTCTAACAGTGGGTAACGTTTATAAGTACATCCCTTTAATTATAACATCTGTGATGAACTTATCAGATAATTAAGAACATTTAAAGGCAAAATGATGTGTTTACTTTGTGTCTGATTGTTCAGATGTTCAGCGGGGGGGCGGCAGTCTAAGGCGCTCCCCTTTCGACCTCATCATGAACCAGATCCGCAGGAAGCGTGCAGCGTCAGACAGGAAGCCTCTGGGACGCTTCCTGTCCAGAGACCGGACGGGCATCCCTGAGGACAGAGAGGACAGAGAGGAGAGAGGTGAGGGGGAGGTTTGTTCAGCAACGAGGGGATTTTGCAAATAAGAGAAGACAGAACTTTATTCACCCCCAGGGAAATGTAAAGTAAGACAGAGTGCAACAAAAATATCGATAAACAAAAATCCACATAATCCAAAATAAACATAATACCCTAAATAAAACAAGATTAATGGTGTACCTCCACTCGTGCAATTTTACAAGACTATAAAGAAATCTTAGTAATAGAGGTTGACATTTTAAAGCATTTTATAATTACTTATCAGCCTTAAGAGCCTTTATCATCCAACCTAGTGTTACTATAAATTCAATTGTGCATACTGTATGTGCTTTTCTTTGTAAAAATGAATGCAGAACAACAAGAATTAAAGAGGAAGATGATCAAATTCAGACATGCGAATAAATGAAGCTTTAAATGTGTGTAATGTGTGTGTGTTTCAGGTGCAGCGGAGGGGGCAGAGAGTGAGTGTGATGCCGGCTGGGGGCGAGTGTGTGTGTTCCTGCAGAGGTTGGGGAAGAAGGCGGACAGCCGGAGCCTGAACCTCGCTCACTGCGACCTCACCGCTACTGACCTGCTGGAGCTCGGTGATTATTATATCATTATCAGTAAAAAAAAAAAAAATCATGTTTAAGTTGTTGAACACTGGTAAATTAACACACACATTCCAACACATTCAAACTAAAAGATGTTATGGGATCTATTTTAAAGTATTCACAGACATTTTCAACAAATCTTTGAATTTGCACAAAGAAACTAGAGCATTAAAACAATAATAATAAAATAATGATCAAAATATTTTCCAATCATTTGTTGTCAATAATCCAATTTATTAATCAACTGATCGTTTCAGCTGTCTTTGCTTGATTTGTAAGTAACTAAAGATTAAAAAAAGAGATGCAAAAAGCACAATATTTTGTGTATATATGTGGATTCAAAGTAACTGAAGTGAGGAGTTGGATGATAGCTGGATGATGCTCAGGTCGAATTCAAAGTTTAGGTCTCTATTTGCCTCTCAACATCCATTTACATTGACAGCATCGACATCTTCCTCCTCTGGTCCTCCTCTGGTCCTCCTCTCACCTTCCTCTCACTCTCTCTTCCCCCCCCCCCTCCCCCTCAGCCACCCTGCTGCAGTTCCTCCCTCAGCTGGAGGAGATGGATGTCTCCTGGAACGGTCTGATTGGAGGAAGCCTCAAAGCGCTGACCTCTTACCTGCAGGATGCGGGGGGGGTCAGAGCTCTGAGGCTCTGCAGCTGCAGACTGGACGCCGAGGACCTCGCTGCTCTGGGTGCATATTTGTCATTTATCTTAAAGTTACGTGCAGGACAACTACATTTATTTATATTTGGGCTATTTTGCTTCCATAACAAATAGATTTTTCTTCTTTCAAAAAGAACATTTAAATATCCTAAATCCACAATTACTTTACTAATTGTGTCTAATCCGTCTGTAGTTTTCTCCTAAATTCACCAAAAGAGAGCACAACATAAAGCCTCATTTGTATATTTAAACATAACATATCGACTTTCAGCAGAAATCATCAATAATGAAAATAAAATTAGATGTGTGGCTCTTTAGTTAAAGTTACTCACGACAAGGCCGGGAAAAATGAATAAATAAAGGAATTAAATATCTTTACGTTGTGTCTTTGCAGGTGAAGCTCTGGGCTGTGTGCCTCTCTTGGAGATCCTTGATCTGTCCTGGAACAGTGGCTTGGGGGGCGGCGCTTTGCAAGGCCTGCTGGGTAAACTGCCCCCCCCACTGAAGGAGCTTCACCTGGTGTCCTGCCAGCTCAATGCAGCTGATGCTACTCTACTGGGTAGAGTACTGACTGATATTAACTTAAATTAATGTTAGAAGAAGTTAATAAAGCTATCATACAAATGGACTCGAGTAAAAAGTAGAATATTTACCTCTAAGATGAAGCCGAGTACGTGTATAAAGTAGTACAAAATTCAAATACGCCTGTAAAGTACCTCAATTTTGATCTTTCCTACATATCCCATAATACAACAGCATAACATACAGTACGTGTCCTGTGTGTCCCTCAGGAGGACTGCTGTCTGTTCTCTCTGGTCTCTGTGTGTTGGACGTCTCCTGTAATCCTCAGCTCTCACAGGAAGTGGAAGCTTTCAGAGAGTTTTCTTCCTCTCTGTCTCACGCCGCCTCCATCACCACGCTGCGTTTACAGGCCTGCGGTCTGACGGAGGATGGCCTCCATGCTCTGGGTAGGACATCTGCTGAGTTCTGTGGATATATAAAGGTTTATGAAGGTATCATGAGACAAAGAAGTTGTTATAACTGCAGGTACAGAAAGTTACTTTGTCTTTTACAGTAGCTGTCCATACCCCAGGTTCTTCGTTCGGTTTCTACTGTATCTTATGGAAAGAGGCAGAAAAATGTCCAAACTTTTTTTTTTACATTTTGGCATTGCCTGTTTGTATGTTTGCCCTGAAGCACACAAAAAAATATAAAAGACAAAATACTTGCAAATCAAGAAATGAATCACGGTACCCATTGCTGAAGATGGAAACAAAGCAAAATTCATCATGACAAACAAACTGTGGATATGTTTTTGGCACCCTCCCCCCCTTGTCCTGCAGGTGGTTCACTCCACGGCCTCCCCTCCCTGCGACAGCTGGACCTGTCCTGTAACAGAGGTCTGTCTGGAGGTCTGAGCCACCTCACGCTGCACCTGTCTCACCTCACACACCTGCAGAGCCTGGACCTGCACCTCTGCTGCCACACACACACCGACCTGCAGGCCCTCAGTGAGTCTGTGTGTGTGTGTGTGTCCAAGTAAATAGACAAAATGTAACATAGGTCACACACCGACCTGCAGGCCCTCAGTGAGTCTGTGTGTGTGTGTGTGTGTGACCTATGTTACATTTTGTCTATTTACTTTTCAAGGCAACTTTTTGATTTGAAGGACCTGCAGGAACCCTGTGAGGATTATTCCTGTTTTGTAATGTGTGCTCTCTTTTTGGTCTTTTACAGCAGATTTGTATTCATTTCTGTTTGATTTTATTGTGTTCTTTCTAGTTATTAAAAGTGTGCATCAGTCTGTGTTGCTCTTACTTTAGAGATTGTCCTCATTGTCTTCAGTCCAGGCTCTTCCCTCACTGCCGGCACTAACGGAACTCGATGTGTCGTCCAATAAGGAGGTGGGGGGGGCGCTCCACCCGCTGCTCGCCGCCCTGCCTCTCACTCAGATGAGACGTCTGCCGCTCAACAGCTGCAGCCTGAGCCAGGAGGCCTTCACTGCTCTGGGTACGCACATACTCATACTGATACTGCAAGTACTGTACTAACAATATTGTTGTGGAAGTATTCAGATTACTTCAGTCAAATTGGCATTATAACAAATGTACAGAGGTTTTTGCAGAAACATGTAAAAAAATCACTTAATCAGAAAATCATGTAGTTATTGGTGATGCATTTATGTGTAAATATGTGTTATTGTTGTAATAATTAATGAGAAACATTTGATAAGATGATCATATGATTTGTATGGAAACTAGAAATGACAATATTACTACAAACAACAAAGTTAAAATTAACAAAACAAAGGAAGAAACATCTATTTGACAGGATTTAAAACGTATTTATTCATTTTCTACTCTTTTTTTGTTTCTCTGTTTATTTTATCCATAATTTCACAATATGTGTCAGGTGGGATTCACGCAAAAATTTACAAAAATGTGAATTTTGCGTGTTGAGTGTAGTGTAGTAAAAAGTTGTGTGCCTGACTGACTGTTTATGTGTGTGTGTGTCAGCTGTGTGTGTGCCGTACCTGCGCAGTGTGGATGTGTCCTGGTGTAAGGTTGTTGGAGGACATCTGCCTCTGCTGCTGGACGCTCTGCAGCCGGCCGTGCTGACGGAGCTCCGCCTCAGCAGCTGTGAGCTCACCACCGAGGACCTGCAGCACCTGGGTAACACACACACACACACACACACACGCACACGCGCACACCACACACACGCACACACACACACACACACACACACACACACACACACACACACACACACACACACACACACAACACACACACACACACACACGCGCACACACACACACGCACACACACACACACACACACACACACACACACACACACACACACACACACACACACACACACACACACACACATACACATGCATAGTTTTCTGAAGGTTGAAACTGGTGTTAAAAGAACTTAAGGGTCATATTTCAGGGTCTATTTGAAGTGTTTCTATTATTTTGTCCACTCTTTATATATCAATAAAGACAAAAATCATCACTAACAGTAATTAGATCTGCAACGAGGGATTAATTGCAGCTGCTTTTATTGAACTGTCACATAGTAGAGCCTTCGTTAGTGATATTAGTAACATCTGTGTTACATGCAATCAAAAACACACTTGTACTCGTTGTACTGGAGACAGACGGATGTAAATCCGAAGTCTTTTGTGATACCCTGGTTCATATAATTATATTTCTTAATTTTGTCTTTGATAAGTGAGAATATATTCAGGTTTAATCTGCTGGAGTCTGTATTTAGGCACAAACTTTGCATATCCAGTTTGGGGGATTTTCACACTCCACCATCATGAAGAAAACTGAAGAATTAACTTCAAAGAAAGTTAAGTAAATTCATAAAAGCTTTTCAGTAACAATTGTTCGTTTTGCTTAACAATATTTTACCTGACAACGGCAATTATTCCTGCATTTCTTCATCCATACTTTACTCAATAAAGAGTAAATTAATAAAAAGAATAATCAAAATTATACTAGAAAAACGGAATATTCTTTGAATCCGCAAGCAAAACATTTTGAGAAATTGTTCTTCACATCACACCGCCATCTTAGCCATTACACAGATGTGGTAGAAAGTCAAATGTTTTCCCCTGAAATGAGGAAGAGAAGAAATACTGCAGACCCAGAATGTGTGAAGTGAATGAAGTCCCCCTGTGTTCAGCTGCAGTGTGCCGGCGTGGCCTCCTCTCCTCTCTGCTCGTGTTGGACCTCTCCTATAACGCCTCAGTGGGGGATGAAGGGTGGTCCGCTCTCTTCGCAGCGGGGGGCCTGGGCTCGCTGCAGGAAGTGGACCTCAGCCTGCGACCTTTGACCTCGGCCCCCTGCACGGCCTGGCTGCCGGCACTGCTGTGTGCTCTGCCCCCCCTCCCTGCGCTGACCCGCCTCTCTCTGCAGTGCTGGACCAGCAGCCCCCGGGACAGGAAGCAGCTGAAGCACTGCCTGAGGAAGAGGAGCGTGCTGCTGGAGTGGGACCCTCCCAATGAAGACGAAACATCTTCGTTTAAATCGACCAATCAGGAGAGTCCAGAGGAGTAGGGTTCAAAATCAAATGTTTTGTTCCCAATGAATAACACTCTTGTTCCTGCACTCTGAGATTTAAACAGGCAAATGACCACGCCTTGTATATTAGTCGTGACTAGTTTTCTAATATTGTATTATTGTGATATTCAGGCAACCTCAAAATAATTCATAAGTTAAACAATTCTGAGACAAATCAAGTATTTTTCCCAATTTGAAAAAGTTTTCAAGCAATATAAATACATGCGAGCAGAAAGCCGTTCACATTTCCATGTAAAACAAATGTAATGAATCTTAATGTATGATATGGAGTACATAATAATGATAAAAAAGTATATTTCACTTTTTATAGTTGAAATTTGGTGAGCAGATATTATTATATAACCACAGAAAGCTCGACTGAAAGTTGATAAACAATAATACAATAAAAGTGGTCCAATTGTATATGTCATGAACTCTGTAGGGTTCCTTTAACAATCTTAAAACGTATCACTTTATATTCTGCACTCTTAAATCTCCGCACTGTAAATATAAATGTAAATGAGATGAAAGGATGTGAAATTTAGATGCACTTTTTTAAATAAAAGAATCTCACAAAAAACATGACAGTTTATGACATCTATATGGCACATTTGCTCTGATTTATTTTTGTTTATTTGACATTTCTGCGCATTTTAAAGTCTCTTTTTAAAGTCTGTTTGGATGCTGGTGGGTGTGAGGAGGTTTTAAGTTGGACTGCAGAGGAACACGTTGCTCACTAGTGTGTGGAGGAAAGTTGGAGTCAGTGCTAGAGGCATGTTTTTTAAACGGTTCTGCTGCAGTGTTGGAGGTGGTGGATGTGTCTGTCTCGGAGCAGTTTGTTCTGTTATAGTGTTTCCTCAAACGTTGGAAGACCTCAGCCAGAAACACCCGGCCGTCCACCTCGTAGGCGCTGACGTCCGTCTGCTCTGCAGGCAGGCGGCCGCTGGAGGTCAGCTCTCTGAACGCCTGCAGAGGGAGATTTGAAGTTAATCTTTTAGATTAAAGCTGTATCTGTTAGAGTGTAGAGTGTGTAGAGTATTTTACCTGACAGACGGGCTCCTCCAGGAGGTTTCCCCAGATGTAAAGGTGGCTCAGAGTTGTGCTGACGGCCAGAGAGTGAGCCAGAGACAGTAGACCCTTCCTCCCGATGTTGTTACTGCAGACAGACAGCCTGACAAAGAAAATACTTTAAATAAGAATAAAAGAACAAAAAAATACTTTGAGATAAGTTTAAAAAATGCCTCAAATCATGTAAAAAAATGTAATACTTTCTGCTCTTGATAGAAAGTATCGAAAATGTACAAATGACTTATTACCTTAAAAGTCCTTCAAGTTAAATACACTGGATTCTTTTTCATATTCCGACATCTGAAAATCCTAACAATAAGTTTAGAAAAGTCTAGATATTTAGTCCTCTTCATAGCCACAAAACTCCTTGCTGGATACTTTTACCTCTTCATACCTTTTAAAATTATTTAAAATTAGACAATTTTCCGGAAAATGCTCAAAACCCAAACTTAGGTGATTAGCTCCATGATGTTTTAGGTGGATAAGAACCACAGTACAGTACAGTTGTTAAACAGATTGAGATAATGTGTCTCTTATCCAGAGGGTGGAGAGTCATTTTAACTTCTGACTGGACAGCATGATGGATACCAAAGCCGTGTTGGACTCACTCTCTGAGGCTGCAGCCTGGCAGGGCAACGGCCTCGCTCAGGTACATCGCTCCTACATCTTCAATCCGATTGGAAGACAGGTCTATGACCTCTAGGCTCGGGTTCTGCTTCAGAAGCCCGGCGAGGAAACGCACGCCGTCACGAGTCACACGGTTACTGCAGACAATAAAACACAAGACCGAGAAGATGTGCAGAAGCAGTAAAGGTTTCTGGATTTCTGTTTTACTCCACAATATCACAATAATTTACATCACAACATATTAATGAAAAGTCTAGATTTTATTGACACCTTGATTTGGCTTTTAAATCAGACCCAACTGTTTAATGATGCCCAAACTTAACCCAGCCTTGACAAATTTGAAAGAATCTAAATAATTGATAACGCATGGCAAGATTGTGAAACACCATAAGAGTCCTTTATATTAAACCTCTACTGTTGTAAGACATTAGTTCTAGTGTGAAAGATGTGATGTGGAGGATGTGTCAGTTCGTACCAGCGCAGGTCCAGGTAGCGCAGGCCGTGGTTATGTCGCAGGCCTTCAGTCAGCCTCTCCATCCCGGTGTCGCTCAGCCCCATCTTCCCCAGGTGGAGCTCCACCAGGCTACTGTTCAGAGCCAGCATGTCAGAGAAGTGCACCGCCCACTCCTCCTGACAGACACACAGAGAGATGTATTTATTATATAGAGTGATTTATTCTATATAATGCTTTGTGTTTGTACCTGGAGGCTGAAGAGCAGTGGTCTGCTGATATCCACAGAGAGAAGAGTCCTGTTGCTTTTCAACACAATGGAAAACGCTATCACACTCTGAGTGTCCTGCAGGAAAATCACACAGCAGTAAATAGAATAGATGTCATTTGTATTTATTCTCTATAATCCTTTTCAGAATCAGAATACTTTATTCATCTCAGGGAATATTGGGTATTATGACAGTTACTCAATTTTAGAGTGAAATAAAAATGTAAAAAATATTTATATAAACATCATTTAATTTGTGTGTGCTTACTAGGTCGCAGTCAGCCAGCTGCAGCTCCTGCAGGGTGTTGTTCACCTGCAGACTGCTCGCCAGCTGCATGGCTCCTCTGCTCTCCATTTTATTACCCGACAGTCTGAGAGAGAGCAAAGTGCTGTTACACTGCAGAGACAAAGAAAGAGAAAGATACTTTATGTTTGACATTTCAAGTCTTGAGCCAGATGTGTCAAACTCAAGCTAACAGTAAATGTATATCCTAACAAGAATGAGTGTGATTTTTAACGCCTGGTGTATATTTTTCGCCTGTGCCATTGTTGCTAAAAATCTCTGTCTGTAGTAACCACTTAATCAGAATGGTAGTAAACAAGTGTTGAGAGACTGAATAATACATTGTTGATATTGGTATTTTCTAGGGATTTGTTGACAAAAACTAAAAGTGAAAGTAAGCAGAAAGGATGCCTGTGAATATTTTTTTTTGTGTGTGTGTAAGAAATTAATATAAACCTCCAGGCTCTTGGCAAGAACTTCAGCTCCATTTTTCTGGAAGTCGTTTAACGTCAAGTCCAGAGATCGGAGAGCTAAACTTTCCTCCTGCTCAGTGAAAAAGAAACATAAAATACAACAGGCAAATAATTGATAGGAAATATGACAACATAAGAAGCAGCTGTTGGAGATATAACAGTTTCAGGCAAAACTAACCATTCAACTGAAACCTGGCATCTTTACCTGTATGAGCTCAGCAAGGTGTCCAACTCCTTCATCTGTTATGTTGTTGTACCTGAGATCAAGACCTGATGATACAAATAATACAAGTTTAAAATATAAAGAAGTTAGAGAAGGTGTTCACCTAAATCTGACAGCTCACCTGTCACACGCTTGTTGTTTTTCAGACATTTGGAGAGAGCGAGGATGTCTTGGTCATCAAGTCGCTGAACATCTCTCAGATGGTGGCTTCCTGACAGTTTTAAAGTGACATTTCTTGCAAACACACAACAAAACTTGAATTGAATACAGGATCAGACACCCATGCTGCCTTCAAGTGCACAGCATAAGGTCCATTGACATGCTTTTGGATGGAATTAACACAAATGGATTGCTAAGATTTCATTATTTTAACAGTAGTATAATATTGGTGTTATAAGTAGGAGCAGTAGTATGTGGAGCTTATTGTATTCTGCAAGTAACTACAAAGTATAAAGTGTGTTTCCAGTGAACTGTAGCCTACTAGAATATAAGTGTAAAAGGAAAATACTTCAGCAAAGCAAAAACGTCCAATTCTAGCTTAGTACAGTAAAGTATTATGCTACTTAAGTAAAGCATGGTGAAAAGTAAAGTACATTTGCTGAAGAACTTTACTAAAGTAGAATTTTTAGGTATTTGTTGTTGCCACCGATAATCTTAATATCCCCGAGCAGCACCTGAAGGCAACCTTACGTTAGCTAATAGCTACGGAAGCTAATCCTAGCTTTATTCACGCTAAAAATGTTTCGTAATTTCAGTAACATTTAGTCACTCACTCGGTTTCCGTCGTTTCCTGTAGAACTTGTAAAACGTGTGGATTTATTTTTATCTCATTTTCTGAGCAGACAGTGCAGTAAAACTCTGAAAGATCTTCGCTAACCATCGTTGCGCCCGAAGCTTAAGTTTGAGTTGTCATGGCAACAAGGGAGGATGGCGTCTTTCGAAGGACAAAAGACAATCTTAAATAAACAAATTGTGATTCACGTTTAACAGGAGACTAGAATACATTTTTGAATGTTAACAATATTCTTTTTTTTTCTATTTTAATGGCAATGTTGTTTCTTTTACATTCTTTAACAAAAAACACTAAATATTTGAATCTCAAACATTTGACTTATGTTAACTTTTAATATAGTTCATATATTTTTCTTCGTGTTTATTTAAGATATATCTAGTTTTGTATATACAGTACATTATTTTGTTATCATAATGTATTCTTTAATCATGTTTCTTTTGAACATCTTTTTACATCTGCTGGTTCAAGTTAACCATTCTTAATTTATACCTCTTTATTTCACTCTATGAATGCGCCATATTATATCTGAACAGATGATGTTATCAGAATACAGCTTGCCAGAAAGTTAATACAAGAAGACATGTATAAAAAAAACATTCAAACGCAAAAAGTCTCTTATTCCTCAACATTTCCCCTGCAATAGTCACAAAGACACACACTTTGTCCCTTTTTGTTTTGATTTTATTTTTCTTGCTCAGTTTTTAAATACAGTAATGAACGTGTGTATGTAATGCACATTTCTGTAGAAGTAATGCAGATGTTTTATCCAAAAGAAAAAAAAGAAATCAAACAAACGTTCATGGAAATATAATGCAGTTTTCAAACTTGATGCACAAACTTTTCTGCTAAGACCTAAAACAGCTGCTTTATTTCATCACATGTCAAACACTTACGGTGGGAACATTTATGATTAATAAAAAAACTCATATCTCATGGTGATACCAGGGCACCTACTAACTACATTATCTATTCAAACAATGCAAGTTATACTGGCGGACATATTTATCTAACCAACGTTTCTTTAAATTTGTTTCTTCATTCGGATAGTAAGAAAGTAAATCCAGCCACACGTCGATGTCCGAGAACATGATGCTAGTCTCAATTTCTTCGATAAAGTAGTGGAATGGGCTGCTAAAGTTGGAAACTAATCAGTAACACTGGAATAAATGGAGTTTACCGTAGGCTGGTATTCAAATGATACGTTAATTGGCTTTAAATTAGTAGTGATATTTATACTTTGTAAAAAAGGTCATCATTTTATCAGATTGCTCTAAACCTCCTTATGAAACTGAAATCGGGAACTTTAACAACTTCTGCTTTTTGTGAATTTTAGGGATGCACCCATAAGACTTTTTGTCACCCAATTCGTTTTCTGATACTTAAACTCAAGGACTTTTTTCTGCATTATGTAACATCCTTGAATCTTTTAGTGTAGGCAAATAAAATACTTTTTATCACAAAAAAAAAGTCTCCTTGAGTCTTCGGCCAGAAACGATTGCAGAGGAAGTAAATGAAAAGTGTTTCTCTCTTTAGAAATTCTGATTGTTTTCGTTTAGAATGTAAAAAAGTGGCACGATGAGTAATAGAGACAGGAAATTAGTTAAAGGATTATTATATATTTCTTTTACAACTTGGGTCTCGTTTTTGTAGTTTCTCACCATCATTTCTACAAATAATATTAGCATTATACTAGCTTAAAAGTAAAAAGTATTGGTTACAATTTCTCTTTGTACAGGAAAACTGTCTGCACATTTACACAATAGGTCTAACATGTCTTACTGATACCTTGATCTCTGCTATTAAGATGGTACGTACAGTATTATTACTTATGCAAATAATGGACTATGAAATTAAGACCCAAATATTGTCTTTCCCTTGTAAATCACTCAATGTCCATCAAAGTCCATTATATGGGGATATATATGAGAGCTGACTTTAATCCTATCAGCGGCTTTATTGTTAAAAAGTAAAAATGTTCTTTCGGGGGGGGGGGAACCTCACTGCTGCGGGGGGTTGTGCTCGGCATTGTCCACCGTCCTGATGATGACTATCTGCTCCAGGCTCTGGGCGGGGGGGGAGGGCTGGGGCCGCAGCTGCTCCACCAGAGCGTGCAGGGTTTCCGAGTTGATGGTCTGCTCCGTGTCGGGTTCAAAGGTTACCTGGTCGGCGGCAGTGATGTCGGGGTCGGATGGCTCCGCCTTGAAGTCCTGCAGGAGGGCGTCGGTGGCGTCTTCGTCGTCGTCAGCGGGGCCGGTGGCTGCTGACGGTGCGGGGGCTTTGGAGGTGGGGGTGGTGGGCTCGGGGTTTGCTGGCTCCCCGCCTTCAGGGATGGACACCATGATTTTGTTCTCCTGAGAGAGTTTACTCTGGACGAACGCCACGGGGTGACTGGAAGCCAGGAGCACCACTGCTCACAAAACAGAAACAACACAAAGTTACCAAACCACAGGTAAACTTTGCACTCTGTTTTCACCAATGGTTCTATTGATTAACTCAAGAAAAAAGTAACAGAGTGGAGCAGGAACAACCTATTTTTGTGGTGGACCCTGAAGGTAGGATCTCATTGGTTACCTCCACAATTGGATTTTCATTTGAATTCATGTGGTGTTGGAGGAATACATTTAAAAAAGCAGTTACAAACTAGGAAAGGCTCTGCAAAGATTTTGGTGCACAATTTTCCGTCATATTGTAATATGGTATTACGTTATAATCGTTAATTCCTTTCCTCCAGAGTGAACTGATAGTTAAACCTTTTCCCAGAAACAAACAAACACACACACACTGCTCACCTGCTCTGGCTCTCTCCTTGTGTTGCCGCACTTCGTCAGCGTGAGCTTTCTCCTGATGTTTGATCATATTCTTCACACTGGCAAACCGGTTTCCACACAGCAGACACTGCACACCTGTGTTTCCGTCTGCTAACACACACAGACACATAATTATCGACATTTTGTTACATTTCATTTTGATCAGATAGGTCCTAATAAGACTGAATATATATTTCCACTTTTGGGCTGTTTTATTAAGAAGAAGCTCATAAAAAAAACAGGATTTGAATTCTTGTATATTAGGATATTGCTCTTTGAATATTTTTTGATTTTATTGTCAGTATACTTTAAAGTAAAAAGACTGATTTTGATTGGCCTTGAGCAACACTCACCTGGATGAAGTCGCCTCATGTGTTTCTTCAGTTCGGAAGACGTCACAAAACTTGATTCACATTGGGGCTGGGAACATTTGTACGGAGTCTCACCTGGAAAATTAAAATATATAATATAATATAAATATATTTTAAAAAGTAGCTTTGAGCCAAAAGACGACAAGTTTCGGCTGCCAAAGATCTCGATGTTTCCTTAAACAAAAAATGACTTCTAAATGTGAAATTACCCGTGTGTTTTCGTGCGTGAGCGATGAGAGAAGAAGACACAGAGAAGGACATGCCGCACAGATCGCACTGGTACGGTTTCTCTCCAGTGTGTCGGCGCTTATGATAGGTCAGGGTGCTGGACTGAGCGAACGCCTGACCGCAGATGTCACACACGTACGGTTTCTCCCCGCTGTGCAATCTGTGAAAACACAAACAAAATAAGTCAGAGATCGGTTGCATCTAAATAATACACAATCTTTAAACCTGCAGATAAATACCAAAAAAGGAGCAGGATAAAACTCTATATTGACTCTCTGTGCATATACTAATGATAATAATACACTGTATGCGTGTACCTGATGTGTATCTTGTAGTTGGACGAGGTGGCGAACTTGAAGCCGCAGCGCTCGCAGGTGTACGGCTTCTCCTCTCCGTGGTGCATCCTGCGGTGAGCCACCAGTTGACACTTCTGAGCAAAACACTTGTCGCAGTCCGGGCAATTAAACGGCTTCTCGCCTGCAACAAACAACAGAGAGGTTCAGCTACATAGAAATGTTTTCCTATGTGTTCATCCAACAAGTGATATTTGGTAACCGTTCCATGAACTTCACCTTCATCTTGATTGGGTAAAACATTATATATATATATATATATATACACATGTTCCTGGCTTGTGGAACCTACTATTTGTAACAGTTGAAGTATGAATGGTAACTCGCCTGTGTGAATGCGCAGGTGGGTCTTCAGCTGCGTGGCCTGTCTGAAGGTTTTGGAGCAGAAGATGCAGATGAAGGGCTTCAGGCCTTTGTGGATCTTCTCGTGTCGGCGCAGGCTGCTCACGTCTTTGAACAGTTTGTCGCACTCGGGGCATGCCAGCGTCAGCTCGTTCATTTCTGCCGCTTCCTGCACCCCCACCTCCCCCTCCTCCAGGGACATGTCCAGCCCCAGGTCAAATTCATCCGTCTCACCTGTGCCGCTCTCCTCTGCTTCATCCTCCATGTCCTCTATCTCCTCCTTCACGATCTTCCTCCTGCCTCGACCCCTACCTCTACCTCTCCCCCTCCCCCGTCCTCTCCCTCTCCTCCCCTCTCCCACGCTCAGTCGAGGCTTCTTTGCTGTAGTTTCGTCATCCAGCGAGGGGCTCCAGTCTTCAGAGTTGTCCCCAAAATCTTTCACACTACCGTCAGAATCCTCCAAAGGCAGAATCTCACTTTTAAATCCACCTCTCCCTCTCCCCCTCCCTCTGCCTCGGCCTCTCCCTCTCCCCCTGTAGGCTTTGGGGGTCCCGTCAGTAGAGCTGCACGCCTCCACCTGCTCGCCACTCAAACTCTTCGGCTTTCTGCCTCTCTTTCTTCCCTGTCCTCTCCCAGCACTCTTCAGCGTAGTAGGAGAGTACTCTTCATCGGCTTCTCCCTCTTCCATATCTACATCCTCAGCCTCTTTGACAGCCGTCCCCTCTTCCTGAGACTCCCCCGCCGTGGAGACGATGGACAGGGGGACAGGAGAGCTGGGGCTCCCAGGAGAGGTGGGGCTGGGCAGAGAGAAAGCAGCGTCTTTATCCAGCTCAGACGCTTCACTGGGCTCGGACCAGTGCGGGGTCTCCTCCATGTACTTTGTGGCTTCAGAAATTCCCAGGAACACCGCCGCACGCCGCACCGCCGCCTGTCTCGTGCTGAAACCATGAAAAGGAACATTTTAGTCATTTAAATAGCTGAAAAAAAACATGTTGTTTAAGGTTAGTTCTCTTTAAACCAGTGCAAATTTGCAAAAGCTGTGTGAAGCTGACAATTGAGCGGCCCGACCAAGCAAGGAGGCAGAGAGTTCAAATATAACCCGGTGTGGGCATTTATTAATCATTGGCACATGATTCACAGCCTCAATCTGACTGTTACCCGTTCACACAGTCACCAGCCACCAGGATCTCACACCCTTCACAAACAGGAAACACAGAGCCTAAATACCCACAGACGAATCAATCAACAAGACACAGGTGAGGGGGGAGGAGACAACACAGGGCACCAGGTGCACACAATCAGCAGCAACAGACATGGGTGAGTGATATGTCAACTTTACACAGTGGTAACTTGTACAATGAATGCAACTTAACGTCATGATTTATACACCCTCAACATATTATTTGCACCCTGATTATTCTCAACCGCTGTCATTCTTACACCAGCATAAACACTTTCGGCGCTCTCGCTAACTCCCCTATCTTTTCAGGCGGAGCCGAGGACCCGACCAGCACCTGCTAGACGACATTCCAATTAATACGGTTTAATCAGTTAATAAATACTACCTCAATAATTAGTATAAATGATGTAAAATGTGCAAATATGCAATGCCAAACTGTACTGTGCAATCACGCTAATAAAGTGCAAACTGTTCACTAAAGTGCTGAGTGACTTTATCTCTGCAAAGGGAAGTTGTTTCATAAAGTGCAAACCCACATGTGCAATATTACAAGGCCCGAAGCCGTCAGTCCACAGTGACGAAGTTACCTTCGTCACAAGCTGTAAAAACGTTCGTACTAGGGCACCCTCATCTTAGTCAAATAGTGGACAAAGAGGACGTTTTAGTCATTTGTTATACTTTTCCCCCCCGTTTTTAACGCCACAATTTATATTTGATGTTACCTGCTGAGGTTCATCTGTCCAGTGTAGATGAACTCCAGGAGCTTCTCCAGGGCGTAGCGGCTGACCTTATCGGGGTCCAGGGTCGTGATGTCTTGACCCTTCTCAGCCTGCGAGGAGAAATACTTGCTGAACGCAGCCAGGATGTTGCGGTGGGCTCTGAACTCTACGTCTCGCACCATGATGGTGATGTCACACAGGAAGTCCATCTCCCGCTGCTGATGGAGGCGGTGCAGCAGCAGCTTCCCATGGCTGGAGATATTAGCCATCCCTACAGCTGGTAAGAGAAGAGAAATATAACATTAAAGCCAATCGTTATTATTTGTTCTCTTAATGATATACTGTCCTCTAGAGGGCGCTGTGAGATAAAAACATAAATTGAGAATATTTTACATGTGATAACAAGTAGTTTTTTATCTGCTTCAAAGTATTTATTGTATGTTGAAAGTATTTTTGTGTGTTTTAATACATTAGGTCTGTTTAAATATATGTGTACTAACCAATACTAAACAACTGCTGCTCTAAAATGGCAATAGACAATTAAAATGTATTTAATTTCATTGTAGAGTCTACCAAATAACATTGAAAAAAAAAACTGCACTAAATAACTTTTTGAAGCCAAATGTGAGTACTCCTTGCACATGCGCCAACGACTTTATTTATTTACTTTATTACTACAATTACAAATGTTATTAGTACTTTCCCTTTGAGGTCTGTAATTAAACTAGGGGTGGATTAGTTGAGGTAGTTATAAATAAAACTAAAATATTGCTTTATCGTGTGTTTACATTGTGTACAGTCCTATAGTAATGACTCACCTGGTGAAAATCCAGTGACTGAGCTGGAAAACAAATAGAACAAACAGAATTGTTCAATTACATAAAATAGTATTACAAAAAATGACCTTTAGGCAAATAAAAATAAATCAATTCATTCATAATAAAAGTACTTACTCAGTAATGTGACTGCTTCAGCTCCTCTTTAACACTTCAATTGTAGCTTTCTCTGTTGAAGATCGTTATGAATTAACAAAAAACGTATAAGAAGACAATCCACTGAACATGATACAAGTCTAAAAAACATGTATACTTTATATAAACAGTTTTTAAGATATGTGATTTTCTGAATGAGCAGCTATTTGACAGGTGATGTTGAAAATCAGTTTTGGAAAATAAAAGCTCCCGCCTGCTTCCTGAACAGGCCTTACAGTCATGCTAATGCTAATAGCAGTGTCGTACATCGTTTTAAATGACTTCTGTAGGTGGTTTGTCGTTTCACGTATATTTATGAACCATTCGTGTACTTAACACGCGGCCTCGAAAACGATTATTACCAAAACGGTCGATTTATGAAGTTAGAGCTAACTGTTTTTGTAGTGGTAAAAAGCGCGGAAAACATTGTGCTCTTATTTCGAAGGTTCGATATGTTTTTACCGGTGGTGGCGACGTAATTTGCCACAGAATGTTATCATCGCTTATTTGAACGACGATACATGCAAACGCATCGTTAGCTACGGTAAACTGTTGGTGTAAATGCACTATTATTAATCCAGCACAAAGTAAATAAAACCAGAAAAGTACCTTCTAATATCCGCGATCTCCAGCCATTATCCCCGTGACTTCGGGACTTCTCGCGATACTTCGCCAACAACAAAGACACCTGGCTGGGGCAAGATGATCCTCCCCACGCCCGACAACTTTCGAGAGTGGGGTAAGATTACTGTCACAAAAAAATAGTTGGTACAATAGTCTTTGGTTAACAAAATCTATTTCCTTTGAATTAATCAACACATTTTATTTCTCTAGTAGTCTCTAGTTTTAAAATCATGGATCCGACTTTTTGTCTAAATTCTGGGACTGTAATGAGACTTTTTTTTGTATCTTTAATGTCAAGCAGAACAGTTAATGGATGTACACATTTAAAATATGTAAGATTAATAAATATGTATTAATAATAACTTCATTATTATTATGAGCTTTAAATATTAGTGTATCTGACTGCAGTACCTCCCAAAAATCCTATCCCTTATACCATACTACTCTAATTGCTGAATAAATGGGCTGCTTTTCTTTGCAAAATAAAAAATTCCTTCTCAGTAATGTATATGTTGATGCCAAAACGTTTGTCTGATAGTGTCTAATATTACACAATTCAGGACTTTTGTACCTGGGTAAACATATATTTACATTTGTAGGATGTTGCGCTGATGTGTTTCTCTATCTAGCTACTGGATTAATCTGATGATGTCTTGCTCTGTGATGCTCGGAGCAGCTAAAGTAATTTAAATCTCAGCATGTGGAGTTTAATGGGGAGATAAGTGGACTGAATTTTGCATGAGAAGAAACACAACTCTCTGTGTCTGTCTTGTTGTTTAATTTCCTTTTCTCCTGTTGTTCTGTTAACTACCATCAACCTTCATGTTAAATGTTGTTCCACTCACTGATTGCTTATCCACTTTTTATCAATTGGTGGCTTAATATTCTTACTCTTTTCAAATGAGTGTCATTAATCTGAAGCAGGAGCTTCAGTGTGTCGTTAATCAGGAGCAAACTGCTGTCCAGGGAACTGTTTCATCTCATGAAGTCAGTACAGCTTTTCTCCAGCTCGATAATGCAGAACTGCACACGCTGCAGCTTTACTTATTAACAGGTAATAAAACTTTTATGCTGAAAGCCTCCTGCCCTGAAATTGTTTGCTTTTTTAATCCCATGTGTGCATGAATTTCTGTCCTCAAAGTGAAATATTTCCTGAGCAGATCCTTTTGAGATTACTTCTTATAAATAAAGCAACATTTTTATTAAAAAATGTTTTTGACATTTGACAAAAAGTACTATGTGTACAAATAGAGAAAAATATAATTTCCACTCCACTACTTTTATCTGAAATCTGTAGTTACCCAAAACATATGACAAGGTTACATGATGTTTTGGTATAACAATAAATCCATTAATCCATTAGTTGATTTTCAGTAAAAAATAATTGTCAACAATGTTATTATCCTTATTATACTTGCATACTTTTAAATAACAGAACTAATGCAGGACTTAGTTATAAATGTCCTCTCTTTGAAAGAGTCTCCGGAGAAGGAAGAGGTCACAACCTTTAGTAAACATTACAAACTGAGATTTCACATTTGGCAAAAACAATTTGCATCAAGGGGAGGAATAGAGAATAAGTAGACGAAGCCTTGATCATTTATTGATTTCTGTGGGCATTAACCCGCAACAACACAAACTAATGCAGCCATAATTAAAAAATGTATGTGAAAATACTGCTAGAAAAAGTATGTAATCAGCCAAATACTTAAATTACAAGTATTGATTATGCAGTAAAATCTACACTGTCAGTGTTTTTTTACTGTTATCATGACGCATTTTCCAGATAATTCAAGAGGCTTTTTAAAGACTTTATTTAGCTTAGGAATGAGGAGAATATAGGAATACTTAATCTTTCACTTTATTGCAAACATTCAGAATCTCTTATACATGTTTTTCACTGGAGATGAAAGATGTTTTATGAAAAGTAATTAATTATGGTCACTGCATGAGTAAATGTTTTTGGTTGAATTCCACCATTAAAAAGGATACCAGTTGTAAAACGGAATTTGCATAATATTGGCGTGAACATGTCATATCTCTGTGCAGCTGAAAATGTAAATGCAAAATGGAATTACTGTAAAGTACATACATTATAACAGCTTTTCAAGATTCAGAGTGTCAGCGGCTTTATTATCATGTGCACAACATTTGTTGGAAATGAAAATCAAATGTCCCAGGCTCCTCTAACAATGCAACATAGTATATAACCTAAAAACAAATGAAGAAGTAAAGCAGTGCAAAAGGACAGTGAAAGCGAGACAATAGAGCATGGAATACCTATATACATGTAAACTGAAATGTGATAAGATATTGACACATCGAAGGTTTATTATAACACTTACTGCTCCTTTAATATTTCTTCATTCACTCATTCTGCTGTGTGTGTGGTGTTGTGTGTGTGTGTGTGTGTGTGTGTGTGTGTGTGTGTGTGTGTGTGTGTGTGTGTGTGTGTGTGTGTGTGTGTGTGTGTGTGTGTGTGTGTGTGTGTGTGTGTGTGTGTGTGTGTGTGTGTGTGTGTGTGTGTGTGTGTGTGTGTGTGTGTGTGTGTGTGTGTGTGTGTGTGTGTGTACAATATGTGCACAATGTGTGTCAGAGTGTTAAACTCACACTGATGCCTTTAGGGGTCCTGTGTTGATGTGAGTGTGGGTTGTTATTAAGAGGAGAAGGAGGGAGAGAGAGAGAGTGTGTGCACGTTTGAATATGAGATAACAGAGACGTTTAACTGCCTCCCTACAGTGATAATGGATGAGAAAAGCAGCTGATGTGCTTCAAAGAGACACGTCTGCATTCAGCATTCCTATCATCAGTACCAAAATTAAAGTATATGAAAGTACCAAATCATATACATTGTCAGGAGATTAGATTAGGAGCCAAGGTTAGAAAATAATATTTAAGAAGATACTCGTTATTTATTTTCTTTGATTTCTAGTTCTTTTGGGAAGAAGTTGATCAAATGCCAACATTGCTATAAAACCACAGATATAAGGACATACAGTGGATTAACTCTGAAACAATGCTCACTCTTTATCTCTCTTCCTCCCACATAAACACAGAGCAACTGACACACTGATTATTAGTTCAGCTGATTGGTGACGTCAGCTCTGCAGAGAAAGAAGGTGTGTGTGTGTGTGTGTGTGTGTGTGTGTGTGTGTGTGTGTGTGTGTGTGTGTGTGTGTGTGTGTGTGTGTGTGTGTGTGTGTGTGTGTGTGTGTGTGTGTGTGTGTGTGTGTGTGTGTGTGTGTGTGTGTGTGTGTGTGTGTGTGTGTGTGTGTGTGTGTGTGTGTGTGTGTGTGTGTGTGTGTGTGTGGTGTGTGTGTGCGTGTGTGCGCAGAAGCCATGAATGACAAACATTTGATTTTCTCAGTTTTTTCTTAATTCCTATTGAATTTTATTTAATTGCTTAAGATCACAACTAGCTTATTTATCTCTATATAAAACATTTCGATTTTTCAAAACTGGAGACGATGACAACATTTCTCAAGATAATGACTTATGAAATATTTAAATAACACAAAAAATAAATTCTGTTGATTACATTTGATAGGCAAGAGTTAAATCTCATCTAGGAATGAAAAGATTCGACACATGGTCATAAAGGGCTTTCTCACCAAAAGAAATGTCTTATAAATTAAACATAATATGCTAACGTTCATATCTCATTATCTCCGGAAAACCACTTTTACTATTTAGCGATAACGACATTAATAGAGAAGTAAACAATATGCACCATTGATTTTTAGGGCTTCCATTTTCCCTATGTGTATTTGTATATGTGTTTTTGTGTGTGAGAGTGTGTGTCTGCTAATATACCTATATGTCATTGCAACAATAAATCATTGTAATGTTCCTTTAATATTTCTTAAGGGAACTTATCTTAGTAGGTTCACAGGTTTTTGTATCATCTGCTATAAAACCTCTGTGTTATTTATATCATTTTTGTTGTGTATATATTATATCTTTCTGAAAACCTCTGTAGCTTTCTACAGAGGTTTTCAGGCGGGGTTTAGCAGGGGCAGCTGCAGCAAGTTAAAGATAGGAAAACAAGTGCACCCGGAAGTAAGATTTTCCCTTCAAAATAAACATGTTATTTAGGGTTAATTTATAAATCTCCTCATTTCTAATCCATTGTTTTTATTTTGGTGTTGTTTTATTATATTATACAGCCATTACATATTTCTTTAATTAAAAAACGTGTCAAAAACATAAAATAATATTTATCAGTACCAAATGATTTACTGTAAAAAATGGCCCTGTAGTTACTACAGCGTTTTACATTATGCTGGTTATAAGTTGTTTTAAGGGGGAAATGACTTGGCTTCATATTAAATTCAGATTAAAGAGACTTGGAGACGTATGCAACCATTTTAAACTGACCTGATTGTTGAGACTGGCAATAAATGTAAATGTCTGGATTTACCTGCTTGGGTGTTTTCCCCTAAATACAAGTCAGGACAATTCTTTTTTCTTTAGCCTAAAGTCAGAGGAATACAAGAACTACGGTATACCACATCAACTGTCCTCAATTTACATAATTACAATCAAAAGCCTCAAGAAGAAAAAGCAGAACATAAGATTGTAATTATTGTAGTTATCAGGTAACATGGGTATATTTACATATTTGTTTAGTAATATACACTGACCCTTTTCAAACAAAATTAGTAAAAGTGAAAGCGTAGATTAAATATTGTATTATTAACCTGAATCTAAAAAAGTAACAACAATGTCATTTAGTTAATTATGTAATTTAATGAACTTTGAGAAGTAGTGGAGAAGAAGTAGGCTACATGGATATATTCTGGTGCCTTAACTTTGTTTTTATGTGAAACTAAATATTTAAAGAATACTTTAAGCGTATAAATTGTCCAAACATTGTAGATAAATAAGAACATTCTAACCCTGTGGACACTTAAAAATGAGTTTTATTTTGGAAGTACAGTCACAGGAAGTGCTGTTGCTGCTTACTGTTGTCTTTCACAGATGTGTTGGATTGGTTCACACTGGGTCGCGCTGATCCGCACGCTCAACTTGCTGCTGTGCTTCACTTTTATCAGGAGGTAAGAAAATATCAGAAATGTCGCTGTTTATGTTCATTTTAACCACACATTAATAACTGTATGTGTGTTTCAAGTATTGAATGTGTCAGTTTTTGCTTAAGTTTGCTCCTGTAATTTGAGGTGAAGTTAGCGTCTAATGAGCGATGCGGCGGTGATGTTGGCGTATTTATGGCATGTGGAGGCATCCGTCCTCTGCAGTGTGTTTGCAGAGCAGCGAGTGGACGTGTGTGTGTGTTGGACTGCAGTGCTCAGACAGCAGCCATGCGTTACGGGGATGTTAGATGAGATAATCCCGGGGCCGGAGCCGGTCCCGGAGGCGGTTACCGGAGCTGAGCCCGAGGAGGAGAACGGGTCAGACCTGAAGTAAAGCCTCCTTTCTTTTCAGCCCTCGACAGATTGCAGTCAAACCAAAAACGACTTCCTGCAACCAGCCTATCCATCACATTTCTTATACTATTTCACCAACCCATTTAAACATTGTGACTTACGATGTGCCATCAATGCTTGTTTAGCACTTCATTTGGGAATGAAGTCTAGCAAGTATGCCAGAGAAGGAAGAATTTCCTTTGCTTTATGAGAATGAAGTCTAAATGTCAAGAATAAAGTAAACATGTCATTGGTATTGCCATAATTAGAACATCATTCAGAGAAAGAGAGATTCAATTGAAGACAAATCCGTCAGAATAAAGTTGAAATGTTGAGAATAAAGTTAAAATTATGAATAAAGTCAGAGCACAAATATATTTTATTTCAAGATACAGTTGAAAAGTTCTGTATAAAGTTGAACTATTAGTAATAAATCAAACCAGTGTTAGCTTATAAAATGACTTTATTCTCAACATTTTGTCTTCTTGACTTTTCGACTTCCATTGACTTCTTTATTGGCATTTCGCTGTCATTCTTAAAATGCAAAATGCAATACAATTAGTCATCCTACTTTCCTTTTTTTACTGCCACTAATACTCTTCCGTACTTTTGAGTCATCTGCTCATCTGGTTGTTCTTCTGCAAAACTGACTAGGCCTACCCTGTTTCCTCATTCACAAGATGGACCTACAGAAACAAGAAGTGCTCTGATGTTTGTGACACTAATGACCCATCTCCACTTCGGCTCACCACTAAACCTCAAAACATATCTCTTCACACTCGCATATCCACCCTGATCATTATCCATCACACATCCTCTGTTTTTATTTATTTGGTTATTTGATTGATTGATTTATATACTGCATTGTCTTGTTTATGTTTCTTATGCTGGTGTTATCTATTGTGTATCTTGTTTGTTATGTATTTGTACGGCGACCTTGAGAGCCTTGAAAGGCGCCTATATAAAATAAATAAATTATTATTATTATTATTACTAACAGGGAAACCAGTGCATTGTGGGGGGTAATGTAGATTGTCAGAAGAAGATTTTTTTTCGAATAATGTCAACAAACGGAAAGTATAAATAGCCCCACCTCTGTTAAACCAATTCATCATACATTAATAATAAGAACCCTCTTGAAGGGAGGATTTATTGCATGTAATCTGCAATGGGTTAGCTATTCCTGTTTACAAATTGGTCAAATGTTCATTGTTAATTTTCTGTCGCTGGATGGTTCCTTAACTTCGGAGATGCCAAATTATATGTCATCCCCCTGAAAATATGATCTATTATGATATTTTGTAACCAACCATGACAGATCTTGTCTTGAACCGTTCTGCCAATGAATGATGGAGGACTCATTTCTGAAGTATTTCCCTTTTTTAGGATGAATGTTTTTATTATGTTAGAGGAAGTTGTGTTTCAGGTCAGGTGTCGGATTGTGTTTCTCTAATTTGTTGTTGCTGCTTCTGTTTAGTTTATTGTCTATTATTCATTTCCCTGTTCTTCTATAGTTGTGGAGCACTTTGGGGTGTGTGCAGTATATTATTATAATTAAGTGCAGACCAAATCATGTTGCCGTATTTTTGGATTCTTCCCCAGAATCTGCAGTTGAACTTATTGAAGCTGCTGAAAGTCTTTTTGTGCTTGCAGAGTTTTAAGCTTGTGGATGTTTATTCTTTCTTACCTTGGCAGTTGTAATCTTTTTTGTTTTGCACTTCCACTGACATTGTTCCTTTGCCTGCACAATGTGCATTTCACAGTGATTTTGTCGAAACGCTGCTCTTTCTGCAAGATTGTTGTGTAATGATGTGGCCGATTTGGGGAACGTTTTCAAAATGTTAAGTGGCAGACTCTGACGGGAAGTCTGAGGAAAGACTTAATTTATTTATTCTGTTTGTGGATGGGCGTGTGTGTAAGGATGGGCGTGTGTGCGAGTGTGTGTTAGAAGGACCTGCTCTTCCAGTCTCTGTGTGGAGACGTACCGGTAATTCGTTTGACACAAGTGAAATGGGACAAAGTTGACTCACCATAGAAACGGACTAATAGGCTTGGTTCTTGTTCTGGCAGTGCACAGGTGTGTGTGTGTGTGTGTGTGTGTGTGTGTGTGTGTGTGTGTGTGTGTGTGTGTGTGTGTGTGTGTGTGTGTGTGTGTGTGTGTGTGTGTGTGTGTGTGTGTGTGTGTGTGTGTGTGTGTGTGTGTGTGTGTGTGTGTGTGTGTGTGTGTGTGTGTGTGTGTGTGTGTGTGTGTGTGTGTGTGTGTGTGGTGTGTGTGTGTGTGTGTGTGTGTGTGTGTGTGTGTGTGTGTGTGTGTGTGTGTGTGTGTGTGTGTGTGTGTGTGTGTGTGTGTGTGTGTGTGTGTGTGTGTGTGTGTGTGTGTGTGTGTGTGTGTGTGTGTGTGTGTGTGTGTGTGTGTGTGTGTGTGTGTGTGTGTGTGTGTGCCTATTCATATAATGGCTCTTCCAGCAAACATAGTCGACAGCGAGGGAGTGCTTAATTGACTTTGTGGGTGTGTGTCAGTGATGTAGGTTAAGGATCACTCGCACACACACATAAAACAATCACACACACACACACACACCCAGATAGGGCTCAAGGGGCAGTGGACGTGTAGGGAAAGGTTTCGCTTTAAGTAAGATTAAATCCTTAAAAGGAGACCCAACAAAAACTACACATCCCGGAGCTCAAACACTATTCATTATAATTCCTAAATTGACTGCAAAATTAATAATCATTCATAAAATGTTAAAAAAAAAAGTTTTGAGAAACGTTATCCTGTATTAGGTTATTTCTTTGACAAAAATCATTAATGTGGCTCAACTCCAAAGGCAATTCAATCAAGATGTCTTACAAAATGTACATTACCTGTCTTAAAAATATTGCAGCCATGTGTAATATTGATTACACATGATGATTGTGACACCAAAATACAGGAAATGGCACACCAGCTGTCTCCTCTGTGATAACGGTTGTGACATGTTTACCTGCTTTAATGTTAAAAAAGGTCTTTCTTTTTCTCATACTGCCTGTACTGTAGCTCCTTTTTTCACCCTCTGTCTGATACCAGAGCCCAGTCTGTTCTGATTGGTTAGCTGGTTGGCTTTGTTGACAGTTTAGAGATGTCCCACCCTTAGCCTATCGTACTTGTACAATGTGTTTTGGAGCGCTATCAAATAGAAGTGCAAATTTAAACAAATGTTATACCTGCAAATTTAAACAAATGTTATACCTGCCATCTGAAAACAGCGTTTGAAGTCTGTCTTATTATTTTAGCTGAAACAGTCTGTCAGTCCTTGAATTTCATTAAAATAAATCACCTTCTAAAGTGGCCAATAACTGCATTTAATGCTGCTAAAGTGTTCTGAAAGAGGAGGGAAAAAAGCTCACAGCGTTACACAAACTCAAAGAGACTGTGGTTTGGGGTTAAACAGATTATCGTGAAACCAAAAGGTTGCTGGTTTGATCTTCTCTGCAGAGCGTGTCGAGTTAAATTAACTCTGAGAAACACCCCTGCAGGATAAAAGCCCCTCACACTCATGTCCATCTTTCAGCATGTGAAGAGGCTGCATTTATAACACACACACACACACATTCATGTCTGCTGCTCAGATGCAATAGATATTCATGAAAGTATGTTGAACCAACGAGGCCCTTTTATGCTTTTTAGGGGTTTTCCCTTTCCTGTAGCGTGTTATGGTTGTTGTGCATCTAAATGGTCATCACTACATTACAATTGTGCTTATGCTATGGCAAAAATCATAATCTCGATTATTTGGGTCAATAATTAATATCACGATTATTAAAAAACGACTATCCATTTACTTTGAAAACATACATTTATTGAAACATTTTTTTGAACAGTATGATTACCCTGAACTTTAAGTATAAGTCAACTGAAAAACCAAAAAATAAATAAATAGTTTTATTTAGATTATGTTGTTTTTCATAATCGTTGCAAGCCAAAATCGTAATTGCGATTAAAATACGATTAATTGAGCAGCCCTAGCTTATGGCTAGCGCTCCAACACATTGCACTTTATGAGCTAAAGGGCGGGAAATCTCTAAGTGGTTGACCAACCACAACAGAGCCAGCCAGCTAACCAATCAGAGCAGACTGGTTTCAGACAGAGGGTGAAAAGAGGTGCTGCAGCTCAGGCAGTATGAGAAAAATAAAGAGCTTTTTGAACGTTAAAGCATGCAGACATGTCACAGCAGAGACACAAAATACAAATATGAAACCTGAAAATGAGAATAATAGGGGCCCTTTAAATAAAAGGATTAGGTCTCTGTTTACATCCTCAACATAAGTAGCCACAAGGAAGTTTACACGATTCATTGCACTCCACCATGAGCAAACAATCAGTCTCCAGCTCGTCGTTAATGTGGTTTTACTAAAGCAACAGGTCTTTGCTAAAACAGTAGGGAATTAAAACCACAGAAAAAAAATAGTTAAACATGCACAAAAAATGTATGATGTATAGTGTGTTTAATGTTTTTAGAATCATAAAATAGCAATAGGTTTGTGCCTGAAATAATACAGTTAATCTGTTTGTAAAAGGAACAAAATGAGGAACTGAGCTGCTGTTTTTTTGTTATTTCAGTGACATGGGTTTCCTCCTGTTGCTCTTAATGGTGATTTGAGGATGTGGTGGGAGGGAGGAGTGTTAGCTAAATGCCTTACATGTTTCAGTAAATTAAGCAAACACACAGTCTTTGTGCCGCTGGTTTGGCTGGTGAAAACATTGAGAGTATATTGTGTTATCACACAGGTCAGGAGATTACAATCAGCTGATAAAAACAATCTGCTTCTTGGTGAAAACACAAGAGGAGACTTAAAGAAAGAAAAGCTTAGTGTCTTAAAATGTGCGGATGGAAGTCTGCCTTCTGGTTAACCTGATAACAGTTGTGGGAAAAGTACTCAGATTCATTACTGAATTGAATGTAGAAATACTATAATCTGCATTTATTACAAGCTTGATCCTGAATGCATAATGTGTGTTTCAGTGCAGTGTTCAGTATTTCCTCCACCACTTGAATAATGTGCAGAAATCTTATTATCTGTGCTTTGGTGCATGCATTAGACAGAGCTGACCTGTAGGTGGCAGTGTCTCACTCTCATAGTTCCTGCAGTCAGTCAGCTCATGACTTTGACATTTCTTTTGTGCATTTGAGAGAAACCGTTTTTTAGATGTGTCCCCCCATGTGTGTATTTCACTGGATTATTAAATAAAACGTTAGGATTTAAAAAGAAATGTGCTGAATTATTATTATTTAAGTTTAATTACATTTTAAGTGAAAAATGAGAACAGAAAAACTATAGTAGTAATTATACAAATGAATAATTATACAAATAAATAACATTGTTAACCTTTTTTTCTTTTCTTTTTCAAAGCAATTTTTTCTCGACCATAGTTGAATTGTATGATAATTGTAAACTTTATACAACCTTAATTGCAGCTCAAGTTCAATGATGCTCAAAGCAAAGCAGAGGAAAACGGCTGCCCTTAAACGTGGAAAAACACGGACAGATTAACCAGGAATAACCATTAAGACTCTCGTTAAGAACAATGGTGGAGGTGATTAGAACATAATGAGCACATTATTGATCAGGAGCAGGAAGTATTCAGAGATTAGAAGAGAGAGCACGTCTGTAAAAAAACACGTAGAGTCCATGCACCTTTTATTAAACCATGTATGCTACATGTATGAATTTACATTGATCTCATCAACCTTTTTTGGTGTTTTTGTTGCATTTGAACTTCTCCACATTCCTTATTGCCTCACCTTCAGGATTTAATTATTTATTTTCTAGCTCATAAAAACTAACCTTCAAAGTTCTGCAGCACTTAGTGGTTTGGGGTGGATGAACAAAAGACACACGAGGGGTTTATTCAAACAATATAGGGAAGTTTTTAGTAATTATTAATGCGAAAGGTGCATAAAATAGTCACTGTAGATGATTTATAGTTTAAAGGCAGGATACGTATTCTCTGTGACACATTTCAAAGAGAAAAGTAGCAGTTTAAGCTTTGGGCATATTCATACCCATTATACCTCTTAAAGCTAGTATTTTAAAGTGTGTGTATGAGGGTGGGTGTCTGAATACCTCTCTGGTATGTCAACATGAGTCACCATCCTTTCTGGCTCTGCCTGTTTCCAAAAACAACATGTATTCAGTATGCGCAGGTTTGTGTCATGAACTCCTGATTTCTTTGTGTTTCTTCTCATCCACGGAGGAGTCGCATTTGAATTTTCTCAATTTACCATATTAACCCAAACATATATAATCTAGGGCTCTTGAAAAACATTTGATTACCTGATTATTTTTGTTATATATAATTATAATTCAATAGAGAGAGTAGGGGTATGTATACTAGACGTTCAGTGTTTCACCATCAATTTTAATCAGTCAAAAAAAAAGATAGAAATAAGTGTTTGAGTTATTTTTTATACAAAAATGTGAAACAATTTTTCCAGTTTCAGCTTGTTGGATGTGAGGGTGTGCTGCCCTCTTCGGTCTGTTTCTTGATTTGTTTAGTCTGGTCCTTAAGAAAATATGAATCATGCTTGTTCCTTGATTCATGTCTTCATATTTATTGTTTTGTTTGACAATCAGATGAAAACACCCAAATATTCACCTTTGCTGTCAGAAAAGACTAATAATAGCTTTGAATCCTCGCATTTTAGTCGCTACAGTTTTTGTTGCCTGAAAAATTAGTTTTTTAGAAGTTTCCCTTTAACACAGGCAGATGCTTCAAACAGGAAGTCCCCCCCTTCCTCCTCTCTCATTGGCTCCTGAAGCTGCTCCAGCCAATCAGGTCTCCTCCTTGCTGAATCTTCCCCTCCTCGGAGTGTGTTTCTGCTGCACTCCTCTGTGAGACTCCCTGCCTGTCTGCTGGTCTCTGGAATAGTGTGTGTGTCTGTGGATGTGTGTGTGAGAGTGCGTTGCACAGTGTGTGTGAGGAGAGTCAGATTGTCAAGAGGAAGTCAAGATGGAGATGGGCTTTACTCAGCCTCGGGCTCAGGTCAGTGGATGCCTTTACTGTGTGTGTGTGTGTGTGTGTGTGTGTGTGTGTG